GATAAGGCACTTTAAATTACTTGTTTTCTTGACGTTGGGGAATCTTAGGATGACTGGTTTATACGACCGGTGAAACACGACAGTCGACCAGTGACATACACAACAGTCGACCAGTGACATACACAACAGTCGACCAGTGACATACACAACAGTCGACCAGTGACATACACAACAGTCAACCAGTGACCCACACACAACAGTCAACCAGTGACATACACACAACAGTCGACCAGTGATCCACACACAACAGTCAACCAGTGACCCACACAACAGTCAACCAGTGACCCACACAACAGTCGACCAGTGACCCACACAACAGTCGACCAGTGACCCACACACAACAGTGGACCAGCTATCCACCGAAGGTACCCCCAGAACATTATGTAAGGGGGGATCAATAGGTGGGCCTGGTGTGGTGGGCCTCCGTGTGCGTGACCCAGCACGGCGGCCTCCCGCACGCCGCCGCCCCACTACACGTACTCAACACGTAACAGGTAATTATCCCTGTACCGGAACCATCAAAGGCAGCAGAGTGGCAGGGCTCGCTTCACGTATAACCACAGGTCAGGTCAGGTCTAGACTTATAGACTAGAGCTAATTTGACGTCTAAACTAGGGCTCACTGGATGTCTAAACTAGGGCTCACTGGACGTCTAAACTAGGGCTCACTGGACGTCTAAACTAGGGCTCATTGGACGTCTAAACTAAGGCTTATTGGACGTCTAAACTAGGGCTCACTGGACGTGTAAACTAGGGCTCACTGGACGTCTAAACTAGGGCTCACTGGACGTGTAAACTAGGGCTCACTGAACGTGTAAACTAGGGCTCACTGGACGTCTAAACTAGGGTTCACTGGACGTGTAAACTAGGGCTAACTTGACGTCTAAACTAGGGCTCACTGGACGTGTTCAGTAGGGGGATAACTTGATGTCTAAACTAGGTCTAGCTTGACGCCTAATCTATGACTACATTGACGTCTAAGGTAGCAGGGGGGATAGTCTTCACTCTGGGGTTTGAGTCTTGTTATGTTGCTTTTCCCGCCAAATGTCTTCGTTCAACTTACTGTTCGTCCCAGACTGTGTTGTCTCTACTGTCCCTTTCATTCTCTCCTGTCTCCCTCCCTCCCTCACCTGATGGTTATATTTATCATTCTCCACCTATGTCACCTTCTGTCCGTCAGTGTGTTCTGTCTCAGTCTCCACCCGTCTGTTTGTATATCATTAATAAGGGTTATGTTCAGGCCATAGTTTATGGCTGTCGGAGCCGCCCACACACACACATCCCTTATGGATACACCCATATTCCGTTCTAATTAAACTGCATAGTCTTCAGTCTTTCTCTATAGTGTTGGATTTAATTATCTTCATGCTTTTGTTTCTCCTGTAAAATCGCGGCACTTACACGCGTAAACTTGCTTGAAGTAGTAAGCTGGTTTGATTGTTAAGCTTGTTTCAAAATATATATTTTAACAATTTTGTGTAATTGTATTTGGATATCTTTTTTTTTCTTTTCTCTCCGTTTCGAATCATGGCGCGGTTATATTTTTGATTCACAATAGTTCTTTTTTTTAGTGTCTTTATTGAAATTGAAATTAAAATAAGTTTAGTGAGGTAAAATACACACAATGGGATGAGGTAGCTCAAGCTATTCTCACCCCGTTCAGTACATCGTGTTAATACATACATATAAACACATCACAAACAATAAACATATTACCAAACATTCTGAGAGATAAACATATACATTTCCTTAGGGGCCTTTAAGGCTGCTAAACTGAGTGGTGCCATTCTTTACAAGGACGCTAAAGTGAGCCTTGTGTTATGGCGTGAAACTGTGAGCATTAAGGACGGTAGGTGACTGCGTGTCCAGGTGAGGCTCCGTCGTAATGGTAGACCCAAGCATATTGACTAAGCGTAAGGGTCAGCCCTTTAATCATCGCCTCGCCTGCCGTTCACCTCTCCCAGTTCCCAGGTGATGTAATTATCAGATATACGCCCAGAACCACACACACACACACGAGGTGCAACTCTTGGCCCTCCATGGCTGTGACATCTGAGGAGAAGCACCAGCTTGGTTAGGTATTGGCTTGCTACTGTTGTCATATGCTCTGGTAAACTGTCCTTGTGTGCGTGTGACAGGTCAAGACTGACAGGGGTCAAAACTAAGTAGGTCAAGACTGACAGGGTCAAGAATGACGGGTTAATCTAGGTGGGGTACCCATCTAGAGTCTCATTTCCCTATACTCCTTTTTTCTCTATCTTCTCCTCACCCTAAAATCTCCTGCCTTCGTCTATATCCCCCCCCTCTCTCTCTCTCTCTCCATCATCTCCTTCCCTTTCCAACCCTCCCCCCTTTCTCACTTTCCCTATCTCCATTCTCTTTGCCTCTGCTTTCTCTCTCACCTTTCTCCCCCTTCTGTTCTCTCCCCCCTCCCCCTTCTGTTCTCTCCCCCCTCCCCTTCTGTTCTCTCCCCCCCCCCCTTCTGTTCTCTCCCCCCTCCCCCTTCTGTTCTCTCCCCCTCCCCCTTCTGTTCTCTCCCCCCTCCCTCTCTCAGAAAATGTAATATCATAGATGAACCCGGATGATTTTTCGTTCATTGTTTTCAAGTAATTGTGGGAAATGTACGCCGGGTGAATTTTTTTTATTAATACATGAGGTACATCTGCTTTAGTGCAGCTACCCTAGACTATATGAAGTGGAGTACAGTGTGTCAAAAAAGCTAACTAGGTGATGCTAAAAAATCCCCATCACACAGGATGGCTAGTCATACAGAGGCATGTGATGGGCAGAAGCATTTTGAGGATATCATCAACACAAGATTGAATAAGGTAGCAGTGGTAATAAAAGTCCCCATCTCGCAGGATGGTTAGTCATATAGGGCCAAACGTTTAGTAGCCTGCACTGGCAAATTTTGGGTACGCTGTGGGGATATCTTCAAGAATACGAGAATGAATAAAGTAATTGCAAAGCTCCAGGTACCTCATGCCAACTGGTCTGAAAGGTCTAATAACTGGGCATTCAGTGATGTAGTGCGGGAGATCGTGCCATAGTTCCTGCTCACAGAGTTTGCAACTGGAGTGCTCAGGATTGGGAGATCCGTCACCTGCAGCCACCTGCCACAGGTAACGGTAACCAAACCTGATCCTTGCAACCACCGTGTCGCACAGTCTAGTGGACGTTTTGTGCTGCCCATAGATATAGGTTTCAGATCTGAACAGATCATAGCTTTTTATACTAGTACTTTCAGGTCGTTGGGAGTCAGTAATTTCTTACCTATCAGATCTGAGTGTTTGGACCAATACAGTTTTGACAGCAGAGATGGGGATACCTAGATCTAATTCAACTTCATCCTTGTTAGACGCTAATTTGGCTGTAATGTCTGTCTCATTATGATGGGTTATATTTATGTGTGAGGGTATCCATACAAAGGAGATTCGAGCTTAAAATTAACGCGTAACGGCGCAAGATAACATCAAAACTCTATGGGAACTCGACCCCTGATTTTATTTCAGACTTCATAAAAAGTGCAGGGGGCATTAAACCTATACTGGCCTATCACACTCACATAGCCCCATCTTTCTTGTGTGAACATTGGTGAGGCCTAACTCCATGCATCGACCTCCTACATCGGACAGACGGACATTTTTTGTTTTCATCTACATCTATAATACAGTATAAAAAAGTAGATTTTTGTATTTATTTTTTGTAAATGTTGTGCTCTCATAAATTTACTAACACTTTATATACTATAAAGAAATACTGTTATATTTAATATTTTGGGTTGATAAAGATCTATAGATTTCGATATATTTATCATTTAAATAGTCTTCAATAAAAATATATCTTCACTTTGCTACAGATAACTGTAGAGAAAAAGTGCAGTACTTCCTTGCTAATTTTATATTACACTCTAATAACGTGTAAAATAATAATAATACTAATAATAATAAAGGTAATAATTATAATGATAATATTAATAATTGGAACGTTTTTATTAAATTTTCTAATGAAATTGTATTTTTTTTAGTGATACTTGCACAAAAATAAAGAACTATTGACATTGCAAGACAATAGAATATTGTGACATATTATTAAACTCGAGTTTATAATAAATTTACGTTAAATTCCACCTTCAGATATGCTCTTATGAAACTAATGTTTAAATATGGATTAGATTGTAAGATTGATGAAGATTAAGCCACCCAAAAGGTGGCACGAGCACAAGTAGCCCGTAAAGATTGTAACAGTCATTTATTAAAAATAAAAGAAGGGAATGGACCATTAAGGACTCATTGGTGGCTAGTGACACAGGTAAAGTAATGGACCATTAAGAGCTAGACCTCTGTTCATATCGCATCTTTGTAAATGCTTCACCCCATGTACTGTACCAATACTACAGCATCCTGTCGTCATAAACAAAGGCCAAATGCTCGTTATTCCTGCCGCCAAATCACCAGTTTATAAATGAAAACTGTTTATAGAGGACTCGCAACCGATGATGTTTGATCATATCCCTAACAATTCTTACCCATATTGAACAATGGTTCAATATAGGAACTATGTCTGGTTTCTGAGACAGGTATGTTAAAGTTTAATTGTAAACTATTTAGAGCTAGTAATGAGGAAAAGGTTCAGGAGGTAATTAAGCTATCTTGTGCAGAGTATTCTTTAGGACTGCATTGAAAGTGTCAATTAACCTTTAAAGGACTTTGTTAATTAAAAGTCCTACATGAAGTCTAAACCACACACCAGAAGATGAGGAAACGACGACGTTTCAACTTGATAATGGCCCAGGATGGACGGAAACGTCGTTGTCTCCTCATCTTTTGATGTGTGGTTTAATCTTCATCCATGTTATAGTGACTCATCGTCTGCAAAAGTCCTACATCATGGTGAACATGTGGCGATACGAGCACAGAAGGTAATCGCAAATAGCAATTGGGGCCATTTAACGGTTAAGGGTGTTATCTGGGCATGTCAGGGTAATAACAAAGCTCAACGGTCAATTATGTGCTTTATTTCCATGTAAACAAATACCTTCTCTCCTCCTCACAAACACATTCTGATAATCCCAATAATAAATCATAAACCAGACTTTCTAATTATAATGTTAACAACAATTAAGATATAACAACACAGTATATCATTACAGTATTTTGAAGATTAAATGTACATTTTATACTGAAGTGACACCATAACAATAGCAGTGGTGAAAAATATTGTAGTTACGGATCTTATTTGGAGAAATTTGGAATAGGTTGGGTATACCTTGCTAGGTACAAGCAACCTGTAGTTTATCAAGACCTTCTAGATCTTCGTCACTGTCAATCACTAAGTTTACTGATGTTAATGTAACTCGTTGATGCATACACATACATCAGCCACTGCAGCACAGAACTACTGTAGTATTAATTATACTGTAATTGTAATCTAAATATTTTATACTGTATTATATTGAATGCTTCACAATCGGCTATTCTAAACAAAAAAAATACAGTACACAGTGAAATAACCCAACCGACACAAAATAAAGGTTCAGGATGGACTGAAACGTTATTACTTTCATTTTATTTCACATGAGCGGGTTGGGGTTTTTCTTTCAGCCACATTGTTGTGACTTTCTCTCCGTAAACTACATGATGTAGGGAAAATTACTTTGAGATTATGAATGCAAAATATTGTTGCAGAAAGATGTGCAAAGTGATGTGAGTTAGAGACGAAAATTTAAGTAAAATTGTAAACAGAATGTAAGGAAAATATTTATAGGATGATGAAACTATAAATGATAAGACATTTGGGAGAAATTATTTTACAAAAAGGTTAAAGATAGTCATGGTGGGGAAATTATGGAGGTAAAGAGTAAAGGCTGTAGCATGGGAGACTGGGGAAGGACTGTGTTGATACCTGTGCATGATGTTATCCATAGGTGGAGTGAATATTTCAAGTACGGTATATCTGTTGCATATAGTGAACAAGAGACAATAATAACATGTTTTAGAATGAGTGAAGTTGGTGGAAGAAGACCAATGGAACAAAGGAGGAGAGAGGGAAAATTACAGATGCGATGAATAGGCTAAAGAGGGGAAAAGGCTCCTGGTATAGTTGATAGTGATCATAATTTTAAATGTATGTCACGTAATGTGGCAGGAGTGTGTCTGACAACTGTACTAAGACCATTGAGGCATCTTATATCAGAGAAAGGGGTATTAGAGAAGATTGTGGGAACTATACGAAGATTAGTTGAATCCTATATGTAAGGATGTAAATTAAGAGTAAGAGAGATAATAGAAAGTAAGACAAGGAAGGAGCAGAGTGAGTTTTAAGAAGAGTAGGGTCTGTACAAATCAGATATTTACTGGTTAATCAGTAATGGTGATCAGATCAGAATGGTGGTTGAAAAGGTTTTAGCAAAGGGGACTAAGTTGTATGCTGCCTTTATTGATCTATAAAATGTGTATGATGAGACTGATTGTGAAGCATTGTTAGTGGTTTTAGAGTTTATTACTAGCACACTGACTGACAAACCTACACATTGTGTTTTATCCAAGAAACAGGTTTGGTTACAATATTTTAATTTGATTTTATTGGTTTTTGATAAATCAGCATATAAATAAATAACACTGAAATATTAGAATTTAAATTTAACATAGATACAAATCATTTATTATAATTTATTAAATTGATATTATAATACATAAAATGCTCATGATATTTAAGTGGTCAAGGGTGTTCCCCAATCTAATGTGAAACAAGGAGTGATACTGATAAAGATCCCATTTTGGGCCATAGACCAACATCCTGATTATTCAGAATTCAAGAAGCGACTTGCAGCTCCTTCGACAAAGATCTTAGTGTAGATAAGTATATATTGTGAATTAAATCTGAAAGCACAAGGAGCAAAGTTGTGTTTTTATTTCAAAGATAATACCAAGAGTAGTGAAGGAAAATTGTGTGCATTATTTCTTTGCCAAACAAAAGGTTTATCATGCACATTTTATTTTTGTTTTTAAATATTTAAGATGTGACATGTCCATGGAGAATATAATAAGGCATTTAACCACCCCCAGCAAATCTTAAAAGGAAACCGAGAACTAAGGTTACATATCCTTTCAAGTTTGTAGAGTAAGAAATGTGTTAGTTTTATGTCTTGTCTAGTACAGTATCTGTATTCTCCATTATTTCATGCTGGTGTTGCTCTGAGTCTCTCTCAATGCTATATACAAGATTTTCTTCTTAAAGGACCATACTTATTAATATTAAGATCTTAAGATTATTACCATTATTAACAAAAATAAGTACTATTCAATATTTTTTATATAATTATTTTATAATGTAAATATTTTATACTGAATATATATTTTGCATTATACTTACTCTGTATTTGCTATCTTAAGGTCTTTCTACATACAGTATGTCATTAGTGATATTATTATTATGGGTCATGAACAAACAAACAGGTGTAAGCAAAACCTAAGAACAAGTAATTGACATATTCATCAACCCAGTGTAAATTGTTTTTGTTTGTTGCTATATATATATGAAATTCAGAAGCCTAATATAGATTGGTTGGTTGTAGCATGAGCCAAGGGCTGGCAAGTATGGACCGACTTGATTGTCCAAAACTGTGACTTCCGGGGAGAGAGAAAAATGTGTTTGGGTTGAGAATCAAATGCATCTTCCCTACTGTGCTTCTTGAACATAGAGCAAAGGTTATAATGACCCAAGGTTGCTGGACAGTTGTAATGTGAGTTATAGTATTTTAAGTGAAAAACTATTTCATGAAAAAAACAATTTTAATTGATGTACAGTAATATACAGTAATGCAATATTCCTATTTGAAGGCATAATTAATACATTAAAGTGTACTTAAAAGTTTGATCATAAAAATATCAGCTTATAGTAAAATATAATTATAAGTTGAATATATAACGAATACACATTTATCACCTTTTTATTATAGGAATGCAAATTTTTATTTTGTTTATACTGTATTTCCAACCCAGGATGAACTAATGCAATAAAGTTACATGAATATGAAAATATGGGTCAGAGTTCAGCATCTTCATCGGGAAGTGGAGAGCTTGTTCGTTGCACTAGTCTGATCTGATCCCCTTCACATACTGCCTCTAGGCCAAGCTCTTGCAATCCAGGATTTTCTGCAACCCCTTCCAGTTTGAGTTCTTTGACCAACTGTTGATTTTCTAGATTGCCCTCTAGAAGGTTACGCACAGCGAAGATAGAAATTTCTTTAATTAATGGATTTCTTGCGTCAAACTTCGAGCTCTCCAACAGTAGAGTTACACCACCAATTTCTCGAATCTACAAACAAATCAGAAAAATATGTGAGAACTGGACATACTGTAAAAACTGGGATATTCAGTGAGCTGTTTTAGGAAGCATTCAAGTGAAAAAGTTCAGAAAATTACTATAAAGTACTGTATCTAAAATATAACATTGCAGGCCAACAATATAGATGCTATGTTGCTACTGCAGATGCTGACATAAAGGCAACAGGAAAAAGTAAAAAAAAAAAAAAAAAAAAAAAAAAAAAAAAAAAAAAAAAAAAAAAAGGGCTTAGGTTTCCTGCTTCCCTTTGTTATGGACGAAAAGCTTGTTAGACTCATTGAGGTCTTCCCTCAGACAACGACTGACTTTTCCCAGGATGCATCACCCAACTCCCAGGTGCCATTTAATGCTAGAGGAACAGAGGCTTTGGATGTAAGGAAACGCCCAAATTTCACATCTTGAGTGGTAATCAAACTCAGGAGCATTTGGGTTTGAGCCGACTGTACTAATAACTGTACTGCAGAGCACAAAAGATTTCTGATGATGGTGGATGCAAGTTGCTGATGAACTCTTTCAAGCCTATAAAGGACTTTAATTTTATAGATGACATAGGAAGAAAATTAAGCAGATGAGGAGTCACAATAACGTGGCAGAAATATGTTGACCAAACCACACACTAGAAAGTGAAGGGACGACAACGTTTTGGTCCGTCCTGGACCAGTCTCAAGTCGATTGCGAATGCTGTCGACACAATCGACTTGAGAATGGTCCAGGTCCCTTCACTTTCTAGTGCGTGGTTTGGTCAACAAGAAAATTAAGTTTGAGACACTCGTGGTTATCACATTATTCACCATAACTGGCATACTCTTTCATGTTAAAGGAGCACTTTGCATTTTCTGTATAATGTTTTGATAGTGCAAACCAAGGCTAACAAAGTGTCTTTATTACATGTAATTTTAAGAAGAACAAAACTTTCAATATGTTAGAAATCACATCATATCTGCACAACAGAGGAACTCTAACAAGATGCAGACACTTTTCTCGCTATAGAGAAAAAACAAATTAAAGAAATTATGCATAAGGCCAGAACCATCAAAGACATAAGCAGTGATAGCCAAGGGGCCAGAGCCAAGGCAGTAATAGGAGCTGTTAGAACCAAGTAGATCATGAACTGCACTAAATAGAAGCAGTGAAGTATATACTTTTCTGGTAAGAAAATAAGGCTTCAGGACTGATGGAGATGACCAGAGTGTACACTGAGAAAGACATTGGCAAGGAAGAAAGAGGAATCAAAGATAATTTAGGAGGAAAGGCACAAAGGAAATACTATATAAAGAATTTCCAACACAGTAAGATGTATGTACACATGTGAGTGTGTATATTATATACTGTAATCCTTGAAGAAAAACTGAACGACCTGAGGAGAATGAAGAAAGAATAGGTGTTTTAAATGCACACGATGCTTGCACCTCCTCACAAGATGCCTGGCATTGCCCAGGCCTATTTCCTTAGATGTGTTCACAAGCTCCAAAAATCAATATCCATGAAAGAGATAAACCTCTTCTTGAAAGATGACCAATGGGACCAAACAACACACCCAGTTAGACTCAGCAGTATAGGTATTTGCAAGGCAATACAACTTTGACTGCATTCTTATCCTCGACCAGCACTACGAGTGAATTAGTGAAAAAGATCCTACCAGAGTATCTAAGAAACTTCACTGGGATTTATGATCCCAAATTCACCAAGGAAGCCAGCCAGTGGAACATTCTTGCAGGCTCTTCACTGCAACCAAGTTTTCCAAATGACTGCAAACAGGTCAAATGGGATAACTCCCATAGTGGAGAATGCTGAAGAATTTCAACAATGCTGAAAGCAGCTTTTGGGAAGGACAAAGTACACCTATTCACTGTGCATGAGCCCATGCTGGGGACTTTGTTAGCTATCCCTAATTCTACTTTGGTCACCTGCCTGAACTATTGGGTCCTAAGTATTGATGTTGCCCTGCACCTTGGCTCCCCATCTCCACTGAATACCAGTGTATTTGTGGTTATGTGTCGGCAGATCAATATGGCAGCCATCTGTCATAAGTCGGAGGGAAAGATCACTAGATGTGAAGCAGTCTGTGATATTATTTAGAGAAATTTGGCCACAGGTAAGTGTCCAGTACAAGGGAAACCTCAAATGTGCAGACCTGACAACAGTCACAAACGCCCAGATGGAGTTACACTGCAACAGTTTAGTGGGACTATACGTGTGCATCTACACTGGCTGATAACTATTTACCATATAATAGAGCTGAGAGTAGTGGGGCTGCCAGCTTCAGGGAGACCTACAAAACTAATAAGTACAGGGGCCTAGGTCATTGTTACAGGTTCATGCCAATAGGCTCCAAGACCCCCGAGTGCCTGAGGTAAATGTGCACCAAAGTTCCTAAAAGAGGTGGGTAAGGAACGTATTAGGCAAAGTAGAGACCCAAGAGTAGGCAGTTTCCTGTTCCAGCACCTAAGTGTTATGATCCAGAGAGGAAATGATTGCTGTATCTTGGGCACACACTCCACTTGTGCTCTGTAGAGCTGGATGATGTCTTTAAACAGCGATTGTCATATACTTTTATATGTGTTTTCTGTAAACTGAAACACAATGTAATAAAATAATGTAAACTATATTATATAAAATAATAAGAAAGTTGGGGTGGTAGGAAAAGATTAAACTTAAATTAAAGTCACACCAATGTATCACAGTACAGTACTGAAAATGCCTTATTTTATATTACCTGATCCTGATTGCCTTTGTGCCGGTACACCAAACTTGCGATGAGCCTGATGAGGTCGCACTTAAAGCCAAAGGCTGGATGATTTTCAGCATTTGCCATCTGCTGTTCATCAGTGAGATCAGACAGTCTGCTCAAAGGTGTGAAGACATTTCCACCCAGCTTCCCCATGTCCGTTATGGACCGCAACAAATCTGTTAAATATTGGCGTACTGTACATACCTAAACTAGACATGTTCTTCAATGGTGTAATGACGTATGAGTAAATTAGTCATGATTACAGTGGCATAATGAGTATGGAGTTGTAATGAGCACAGACTGGTGCAACAAGCACAGACTGGTCCAACAAGCACAGGCTGGTTTAACAAGCACAGGCTGGTCCAAAAAGCACAGGCTGGTCCAAAAAGCACAGGCTGGTCCAACAAGCACAGGCTGGTCCAACAAGCACAGGCTGGTCCAACAAGCACAGGCTGGTCCAACAAGCACAGGCTGGTCCAACAAGCACAGGCTGGTCCAACAAGCACAGGCTGGTCCAAAAAGCACAGGCTTGTTTAACACTTATGGGCTAGCATAACTAGCACAGCTGGGAGTAAAGAGCTCAGGCTACTGGTACAGGGTGAAAAAAAAGAGAGAGAGAGGGAAGAGACAACAAAGAAACGGAGGTGGCATTATATTATATGGGGACTCCCTAATGTACACTGGAGGATGTATTCCTAATTTTCTGTTCTAAAGCTGATCAGCCATTACTTAGAACATAATTTCTTCTAAGTGAACTCCTAAACATTTTTGGGGCATATTTTTTAAGTATGAACCAAAAATGTGCATATTTAAGAAATGAAATATAAATAATTTTGCTTAATGGATTTTGTAATTATTTAGAGAGGCTTAATTAATGGAGAATGAGGATGTATGAGGTAACAACCCCAGTTTTTCCTTATCCAATATTAACATTTTCGTCATTGGTTATTATGGTTGAATTTATTCGTGCTGTCATGACGGAGGGTGAGAATAGCTTGAGCTACCTCATCCCTCTGTGTGTATTTATACCTCAATAAACTTATTTCAATTTCAGTTTAATTTAATTCGTGCTGTACCCTTCACAAGTTGTATGATTCTATTTGGTATGGGATACTGTTGTCAGGAACAGGAATTCTATTATGCTTATTGAGGTCCTCATCGGTGAGGCCAAGACTAGCAGCACCACCACCCAACCAGCTGCTGGTCAGTCCCAACTGTGCTTAACAGACTGAACAAGTTACAGTTTGCTGTTTTGTATTTGAGTGACAACCCCCCCCCCCACCAATCCCTCCCTCTAAGGCAAATCTGAGCAAATGATGCTGTAACAATGAATCACTGTTGATTAAATGTTAATGAAGCATGTTTTGCCTGCTGGGAAAGTTACAAATACTGTACTTATAATTGCAGAAATTCCATTTATTAAGAAGATTCAAGTCTCTGTGTTACTAATTAGTGAGACAACAGTTTATATGTAGCAAGATTGAGATACCATTGGTGGTAAACTTTAGGTTATCACATTACAGGGGTATTGTACCAAACTGGCTGTCATTGACTATAAATTCTGATCTTCTTGACGAGGACAGTACAGTATTGCTTTCTAGTTTTGTTGACTTTAGATTTTTAATTATAGCCAAAAGTATAACAAGTATTTCCATATCGCTACTGGCTTGTCAAACATCTAACCAAATTAGGGAGGCATTCTGTCCTCTCTTAGGACTGGTAATTCCAGTCCTAAGAATGGATTGAACAAGCATATTATATATTAAGAACATAAGAATAAAGAACTGCAGAAGGCTTATTAACCATATAAGAAAGCTCTTATATAGATCCACCCAAACTCGTTCATATATATGTCTAACCTACACTTGAAACAATCAAGCAGTCCCACATCTATTAATTTACCCAGTACAATTTGTTTCATAAATATACAACCCTATTTCCAAACCAGTATTTACCAAGTTTTTTTCTGAATCTAAACTCCAATTTATATCTATTGTTTTATGTTCAATTTTGTGTCGATATATCTAGCACCTTAATAACATTGCCTGTGATGCTAGCCCTTGAAACTGTAAATGGCAGTCCCAAAAAAGACTGACATAATGAGCCAAAGTGCACATACAGACACTAGTGATGAGAAGGCTTGTGTCTTGCTGAAGCAAGTTTCTCCAAGCATCTGAAGCCGCTGCCGAACACACAAAATTGGCCAATCTCACCAAAACCTGCAGATTATATGTGTGTAAAAAATCGTAATTTTTAGAAGTTAAATACAGTGTATTGTACCATATTTTCTAGTGAATATAATACGTACCTAATTAAAAGTATATTTTGTGGATTTATTTTTTGTATGTTTCATCATACATTCATTGAAAAGTGATTTTCTAGTTACTTTGTAGGGGAAACATGTGATTTTGTGTATTTAAATACATTAGCACAATGTATACTCCCTTGATGGTGGATTAAGAATATGCCTCCTATCCACTGGCAAATATTGTAAACTTCTTATTCTACAGCATAATTATTTATCTAAAAATCATATTTATGTTTATTCTAACAAATTGAATAATATATGAGCATATTTGGATGCTGATTCTAGCATATTTAATATCTTATAAGCATACTGTATTTGAATTATTTATTCAAATTATGTTTATTCCGATATATTCAGAACTAGATTTATAGGAAAGATTAAGCAGATTTCACAGTTTTGCTGCACTTTTTTATGGAAATTTGCCGTGTCTTTTAACTAATTACCTGAGAATCATCTTCTTGAAGTTGACTTGCAAGCGAGCATAAAATTTTGTCCGCTTCATTCTGGAAAAGTTTTTTTTTTTAATACTATGTTAGCAGCTACAGATGCCATTTCTATTTAACAAGACACAAGGTATAATCAGTTTTGTTATTCCAATATACAGTATATATATCTGTTATATCAAAGATGCCAATGCAACCCACTGATGTATGTAAAGTGATTAACCTTTATAGCTATATCCTATGATTTAATATCTATGAAGGGCAAGCTCCCGAGTTATTTGACAATATTCAACAATATTAGAGAAAGCCAGAGTCCTATTGCATCCAAACAGATTGTACTCCAGTACCTATGTGAGTTTCTGTTAGGGCTGCAAACACTGCATTTGCCTCATTTAAGAGGCCAGTTATACAGTGGACTTTGTTTGATATGCGTGTTTTTTATACCCTGAATGTTAACAAAATGAACGCTGTAACCATACTTGTGGAAATGCTGAGTGTTTTACTTGGTGTTAATATGTGTGGTTCTGGTAGGGTACCACTGTTCTTGTGTCTAGTCTTAACATTAAACCAGTTTGTTGGTAGAGCCTTGACATTTTAACCATTCTTCTCTTTCTCTTGCTAAAAATCTTTCTGATATGCAGGGTTGTGACTGTTTTCATAATGGCATTCTTGTGGTTTGCCTGGTTCCTCTTGTATGAAAAGCTGGGCAGTTTCTATCAAAATATTCTTCCTTATTTAATGAACTCTTACAAAGTTCTGGGTGGAAAAATTTGTAACTTGGAACATTTACCTTTACCAAGAATATTTCTAAACTTTCTTAGGTGATTATATTTGTATTTTCCATTTGTTCTCCCCAATATCCCATAGACCTCATTTATAATATTGATAGGTTTTTGGAAAATACTCAGAACCATATAAAAACAGCGAATATAGATAAATATAGATAAAGAACAAGTGAGGCTAGAAAGATACCCAGAAGACAAAATTACTGAGAGCATCCTACTTAGGATATCTTCAATAATGTTAGAGTATAGATATTCAGAAAGAGTCAATTTAAGCACCTTTGAATTACCATTGATTAAATCTATAACTATACTGTACTGTAATTCATAATGTTACTGAAATGACTGTATGAGCTCACTACATAAATTAACCACAAAAAAATGAAATGCTTAGCCAATGCATGACAATCTAATTATTCCAACTTGTTAGATTAATTCCATACCTTAAAAATATTGACTAGAAATGTGACTGTAGAGACTGGCAGTGGTTCGCATCTCGAGTGTAACGGGTCCATCAATATAGCTGCCAGCACATCCAGACACAATAGCTTTTGTTTTCCCGAGAGAATTGGCCAAGAGGCCTTCACGATAATTTTGTTGGACAAGAGCAATTCCAAACAGAATAGAACGAAGCAGGAGTACTGACTCTCATTCACATAGAGAGAGAGTAGCTTGCCTATGATGACATCCACTTCTCTGTTGCTGTTCCAAGTAGTAGGAAGATACTGTATTTAGAGATGATTTAAATTTTATGTAAGTAAAGGAAATATGGTAAAGAAGTTTTATTTAAATGTTGACCAGACCACACACTAGGTGAAGGGACGACGACGTTTCGGTCTGTCCTGGACCATTCTCAAGTCGATTGTCTTGAGAATGGTCCAGGACGGACCGAAACGTCGTCGTCCCTTCACCTTCTAGTGTGTGGTCTGGGCAACATACTTCAGCCACGCTATTGTGACTCATCACCTGCAAGTTTTATTTAAATGTTCTATAATAAAATTATTGTGGATGTTATGGGTTTAACACAAAAGATGATCAAGAATGATGAGGGTACAGTACATGGTCAAATGACTACATAGTCACCTAATAAGTACTGGCTAAATTAAATAAATACCATACACTGTACAGTAATGAATATATAAAACAGAAGCAATTCATAAAAAAAATAGGGGGTCTAACTTCATTATTTGTAGTACAGTAATATGAATGTTATACTTAATTTTAGAAATTTAGTACAGTATTTCTATACAGTATATTTTGCTTTTATCTACTTAACATTTTCAGTAGAGTACTCCACTCAAAAATCCTCCCTTTATCACAGTATAATCACAGTATTTATCACATTATACATCACAGTACTGTATTATATCCCACAGGTGTATTTTTCAGTGTATATACACTAGACATTTAATAATGAATTCTATTCATGATTAAATTATAGTATACTGTACGTATGGTTATTGGTTAAGGTATTAGACTCGGAGATTGCTGCCTTCACGATCCTAATACTGTAGTTAATATGCAAGAAATGTTAAAGGTCATATGCAATCTAAATAAGGCTTTGAGCCACTATGAACAGCTCCTCTTGAGAACAATAATTCAGTTGCTCCCTAAGATAAGATCACACCTGGTCATGCAGTCAGACAAGGCAAGGTGACTAATTGGTGGTCGCTGATACACCTGCACTATGACGCCAAGTATAGCTTAGTAAGGTAAGGTAATTATCAAAAGAAGGCACCAAACTGGGAAGTATGGCTTATTAATTAAGGTTTTGATCATTTAAAAGTGAACTTTCTGTATAACTTCTCAGCTGGAGTGAGCTATTCTCTAATACTTCCCTAGTACTAGTACGAGGCAAGAGGAACATGTGAAAATATTTTTGTTGCGTTCATTGCCGAGTGTAATCCTGCCCTGACTTTCATCTTGTCCAAGGAGATCTTTAGTGATTTTTGCCTTGGAGAGCATCTACGTGGAGTAGTTCATAACAAGATACATGTCATATATATATATACTTGCAGAGTTCTTCTCGCAGGCTCGGCTCTAGAAGGCAATTATGAAGTATCATCGAAGCCATTTGGGACACTTGCCAGTCACGATATGCAAGTAGATCTCTAGAAAGAGAACATTCATTTTGCTAGAAAATACCTTGATTATAAATATTTTAAAATACACCTCACTAAAACAATATTAAACCTGCTTGAATCATCGGATAAAATTTATTGTGAATTTTGGTGCTACAGCTATGTATTTATACCACCTACTATGCATCTATATACCGTATTATCTTTAATACTGCTACCCACATTAAAAAAAAAGTGTTTTGCAAACAAAAATTCTTCCAAGGCAGTTTGCCAAGTAAATTTCATATTTGCAAATTGTTTGTGCCAGAGTATTTTGCATGGTTTATCAATTACATACAAAAAAGTTCAATACCACTGAAAAAAGCCACTGCCACTGCTAGCAACACTAATACAAAAAAATCCTAATCCTAAATTAGTATTAAATGTTAATCCCATTACAAAAAAACAGTTTATCCCTACTTGGCATACTTAGTTCTGCAGTTGTAACCAATATTGTCACCCTTTTTTGTGTAATGAAGTTTTAAATAAAATAAAATAACAAAATACAAAAAATATAGTGGGTGGTAGGAGAAAACAATATCCGAGTGTACACGGGTGCCCCACAAGGATCCCCCGATGCTACATATTGTCTTCTTTGAGGTCGAGGGTCCCTTCAAACTCAACCAGAGGTGGTACCCCCCTATCTATCTATCTATATATATACTGAGATATATATATATATATATATACAGTATATATATATATATATATATATATATATATATATATATATATATATATATATATATATATATATATATATATATATATATATATAAAAATAATGTATTACTTTAAATATACTGTACAGGTTATATGCTTTATAAGTTATTCAGAAAATATTTGCAAGTCATACCCTAATATTGGCAGTACAAGTGGCCAAAGTAGCTTCCGTGTTGTGGAATTAGCGGCTACCATATTTCCCAAACAAGTTACACAAGCCGAGGCCAAAGTGGAATGTGCCTTTCTCCATTCACTGTGCGGTTCTCTGTCATTTTCCATGTCTAATTCTGCTGCTTTTATTCCCTCTGTAGTTTGAGTGATGCTGCCTCCTGTTATATTTGTTAGTTCTAGAGGCTGACTAACTTGTGACAGCAGCTCTTTCTCATCTCTAAATGTCCACTGAATGCAAGATATAATGGGATCCAAAAGATCTTCCGATTCTGCCACCTGAAAAGAAATGATTAATGTTTATGCATACCTTTGCCTACTTAAAACTGTTCAATAATCTAAATTTAGTCCCTAAAATTTATTAATACTGTTGAGAAATTTAATACAAAAAATGGATTCATAATTTTGGAGAACAGTTGATTAATAATGTAATAACAGAACATCCAGATTTTACCAAGAGTTGTGTCCTAGAGCAGTGTGGGAAGGTGTTTCTCAAACAGCAGAGCGAAGAAGACACTACAATAAGGCTGTCAGTGGACACCTTGGTCTGTGTTCCTTGGTTCCATTTAGCTACCTCACTCTTGATTATTCCGCAAATATTCCACAAGACGGACACATCCAACTTCCATCTGTTAACAGACATGGCAAACATTTTTTTTTACCTTTCACAAATTTTGAAAACAATTTATAACTGTTAAAAGTCAACATAAAACAGAAATATTTCATCATTAAAATTTCAAGACAAACTGAAATTCACAAGGGCAAGGTGAAACTTGGTACTGTAGTACTGTACTGTACTGTATTTAAATTAATGTTTTAAAACCAGGAATGTTTAATGATCATGTACTTTACTGTACTTGTATACAACTTCTCTGGATTTAGTTCTGTCCACAGTCTACATTCACAAAGTGTTGAATGTGTTGAAGGATGGCTTCATCCAATTTGGATGGGATTGCAAGTGAGAAGAAAATGTGTGACAGGTTCAGCATATCTTGAGTAAACCTATTTTCATCCATGGGAAAAACTCTGTCTTTGTGCCTTATTTCCATGATATTGTTGCAATTTGTTTTCAATATTTTGTAGAAGTGACTAGACCAACCATTAATAATTTTGCATCACTAGTCTACTGCATTGCATAATTTCATAAAATAACCAGAGTATATTTATACCACTGTACAGTGCACCCTCTCTCTCTCTCTCTCTCTCTCTGCACAAATTTAAAGAACATGAATTCAGATTTGTGCACAATTATTTTTAACCCACAAAATTTTAACTTTGTAAGTTTGGGTTTGAAAAGTTGATTCAACATGTGTGTTGATGCAAAAGCTTTCCACAACCAACTCTGACTAAATAACTCCTCCCAATTATCATGTGTTTAAAAAAAAATTGAATTACTCTTGCATTATGGCACTTAACCATTCAGCACCTCACTGTGTACTGTATTTGGTGCTGGAATATTTATCAACAATGTTCAGATAGGTGTTTTATTAAGAGAAGAGTGGGATCTATCTTGAGGTTATCTTGAGATGATTTCGGGGCTCTTTAGTGTCCCCGCGGCCCGGTCCTCGACCAGGCCTCCACTCCCAGGAAGCAGCCTGTGACAGCTGACTAACACCTAGGTACCTATTTTACTGCTAGGTAAACAGGGGCATAGGGTGAAAGAAACTCTGCCCAATGTTTCTCGCCGGCACCTGGGATCGAACCCCGGACCACAGGATCACAAGTCCAGCGTGCTGTCCGCTTGGCCGACTGGCTCCCATTTTACCGGGATAAAATAGCATTTTGGAGGTATCTGCATAATGGTTTCCAAGAATGTATTCCTTGCATAGATGCTCTACATAAAACTTTTCAGTAGTATATTCCTCACAGAGCAAGAGCTCAATGTTACAATTTGTAATCTCAAAGTAAGAAAGTACAGTACTTACAGTATCTGTAGATAATGTTCAAAGCCTTCAGCTCAGCATTAACTGCTGAGCTGATAATTCATAGTACCTGTCAACATTCATCAGCTGCTTCTGCAAACCTTGCAGTGTTTTGGCACACTGAGCCAAGTTTCCATTCCCGTACAAGAGGCTTGCTTCTTCTGACATGCTCACAACCTCTTCAAACACTGCACTCATCTTTCAGTTACCTATGTAATATAAGAAATATACCAGAAGTAAAATAATTTGAAGTTTCTTTAAATTAGAAATGTTAGTATATTGTATATAACTGTGGAAGACACAAGTGAGGCGACACATAAAATATTTAGTAATACCTGTACAGTATTAAACAAGCTTGTTCATCAATTATTCATTTTACTGTAAAATGTTGTAATTATGTTCCTAAATATTTTGGAAGGTAATCAACATTCAAAAATCATGCAGTGCTTTTTCAGGACTAATATGAAAATCTGACAATTATGAAACTCTTACCCAAGGATTGTAGGTACAGTGGATGTAGCCGTAGAGGGTTCTTCACTATTTGGACAGTAAATTAGAATAATCTAATCAGCATTAAACAAACATGGCAATAATAACTATTTTTCCTGTATATAAGTAGTACAGAGCCCCTATTCCTTAACGAGTCAAATTTTATTACTAGGTTTCTGGCATTTGGACAGGATGAGGACAGGAAGACAGCAGCTTCCTGTCCACGTTGAGGCCGCTGCTGTTAAGTGGCCCTCGGGTAAATTCAGAAAAATTTGTGTAAAAAAAAAATGCTGTGTTTATTTTCCAATAATTTTCACTTTCCCAAAAAGATACAGAGAGGTGTGTAATACAACAAAATTTGAAGTGTAAAAAGTAGCTACATTTTGTGTAACGAGGTATGGTCTGATAGCACACAGGCATTTCAACAAGGCTCATTTTATAGTTGTCAGAGCTGCATACATTTTTTTTTTCATGGAGAGACACCAGGCGAGTGTCTTACCACTGCACCACGGGGATTATTATAAGTATTAGCTTGGGTTAGGCTGTGTTTGGCTTGGTTGGGGTAGGTTAGCTTTGGGTTGGGTAAAATTGGTTTTAAAACCCGTTGGTGAAGAGTCTTTTTATACAATTTGACTTTTATTCTTTGTAATGGGTAGAGGTCAATGGGAACGTTGGGTGCATAGTGATGGAAGAGGGACCGGGAGCTAGCGCCCGGCCTCTTCTTGTGGCGGCTTTTGTCACCTTTGGTTATTCTTTGGGTAATTACTTACTTGTTAGGGTTCTTTATGCTTGACGACCAAGAATTTGTGAATTTTACGTCCGTCTTAAGAGTTGTGTTGTGATGACGTCATGAGGTTGCTTCTCTTTATATTACATCGTTTTCGTTTTCTTTGGTAGCGTTATGGGAGCTTTAAATGTTGGGGACAGGAAGCCTGCTCCTTGACTTACTGAGGTCCCGTTAGGGGAATTAATAATCTTTCCCATGATAACACCGCAACAGCTAATTATGTACCGTGTGGGTACCTATTTACTGCTAGGTAAAAAAGCCCTCAACCGTTCCTGGTATGAACGCACATACTGCACATATATTATCTTATATGTACTATCAATATGCATTATTGTGCCTATTAAGCTTTGTCAAATTATTAATCAAGCTATCAATGCTATCAGTCAAAGCTAACAACGTGCTTTAATATACCTACTAATCTCTCTCAATTTTGTCTTACAATGTACCTGTGAACATTTTATAAATTTTCCTAGAATTTACCTCCTTAATGTTATCTGTTAGATTAAGGACCTGCCCGAAACGCTGTAGGTACTAGTGGCTTAACAAGAATGTAAACATAATCCTGTGTACTCTCACAAACCCCAATGTACCTTCCAGTAAATAAATAACTAAATAAATAATATGAGAGTCTACTTAGTCTTGGGATGATGTTTGTCGCTCTGTGTTGAACTTGCTTCAAGGCAGGTCTATCTGTTCAAGTACCTGGGAGTTAGACAGCTGTTGGAGCTGCTTCGTGTGTGTGTGTGAAAAAAAGTTTGATTGACAATTGAGAGGTGGGACCAAAGAGCCAGAGCTCAACCCCCGCAAGCACAACTAGGTGAATACAACTAGGTAAATACTAGGCCAAGATGTTACAAAAGTAATGTAACCTCGGATTCTACTCTACTGATTTTTTCATTGTTCATTATTATTATTATTATTATTATTATACTGAGAAATCACAATATGGTGATATCAATGAGAAATTCCACGGGAGCCGTGATAAGGATTCGAACCAAAGTGTTCATCTGGGAACACCCAGCGCAGAGGCTCGAATCCTCATCACGGCTTCTGTGGATATTATTATTATAGTTATTATTATTATCAGGAGTCACAGCCTGGTCGTGCATTGTAGCCAGGGGGTCTTCTTTCTTAGCTTCTCTTCAGATTTTGAGCAGTGGTGGGTCGTGGGGAAGGACCATCTGGGGTCTGCTGGGGTCCACTGAGTGGACGCCAGCAGACTCCACCGGCATTTTGGGGTTGTCCTCTTCTTCGTCTTCTGTCATAGTATTATAGTTATTCACGGGGAAGGGTAGAAATAGCCTAAGCTACTCTATCCCTTTGAGATGTATTTCTTTCTTGTCTCAATAAACATACTTGAACTTGAGTTATTCACGAGTGGGGTCGTCGGCCACCTGGGGTCCACTGGTGATAGACCAATGTTGGCGAAACAGACTGATTTCGTCTGTTCTTCGTCTAGTGGGGTCATCCGGGGTCATCTGGGGTCATTGGCAGACCCACTAGGGGATGACCTCGCCCCACCTCTGCAGTCATTGTGATTCTCACTCTTCCATTAGCATGTCCACCATATATTTCCAACTTTCGCTTCGTCGTGGGGTAATCTTGCCATACGAGGTGTGGAATGCCCTGAGCGTGAGGCTATATAACACTTGGTGCCTGGGTTCGATGCTCGCGTTATATGTTTATTACATCCCATACACTCGCTATTAAAGACTATTTATAGCATTTTGTGGAATTCAATTTAAAATTCTTGCAAAAGTGTGAAGGAATACATATTTTAACGTGATCCGAAGATGTATTGAAATATACATTTTTTTCCATTGATAAAATATTTTGGTTTCCCATAGTGTGGAACAAAAAACCAGTTAGGCTTATCAAGGTCCTCCCCCCCCTTCCCTTAGGTCAACTACTGACCTTACCCCCCAGGATCTAACCCACAACAGTTGTCTGACTCCCAGATAACTATTTTACTGATAGGTATAGGCGATATGCATCCTTCGTTATTATTGTTAAGTGCACCATTTATAATTTCGGGATGAATTCTCTAAACTTGTATACTTTATTTACGTACTATTATGTTCTGGTGCAAGTGCCTCTACTTACGTAGAATAGGTATACAAGTCACAGGTATTAAGGTTACTTAACATGTATCCCTGCACATGCATACCGTAGCCTGCAACTAGCAGTTGCAAATTCTAGCAACTGCACTGGCAACTTTCTAGCAACCGCGAAGCTGTAATAATTATATTCCAGCAGCTTCAGTTGAAAATTATTAGCAATTGCAGTTGCAAATTTCTATGCAACTTGCAGTTGTAAATATATTATTTAAATTAATAAATATTATATCGCCTATGTTTGGTCACCCTCTCGTACAAAAAATGCAGATTCATATATAAGCATTGACATGAGTGGTTCAAATAATGAGCAACAAATAGTCACTGCTTTCACAACAAAGCGGTGAAGTATAGCGAAGAAGAAAATGTATTACCATGATTTGGAGACTAACCGACTAAGTAGCGCGCGCGCGCATCGAGCGGGGTACTTAAAAGCGAGCCCGCGGACTCGGCGACGCAGCAGCAACAGCCACAACTTTACTCTGCTGAATCAACAAGCCAGCCCTCACCACACCAGATGCTGCTCCCTAACAGGAACCATAACGTCATAATGGGACTCATCCGCACTGCTGAAATGATTGCAGGCACGAACACCAAGGAATTTGTACGAATTCTGAACATTTTGTACGCTGACAACGGTTTACCAACATTTACTGTTCGTGACGAGCTCTTCACAACAACAGCCTCAGCCAACACCAATACGACTTCAGCAACAAATACCACTTCTGCCTCTAACATCAACATCACCATCTCTTCAAATGCATTGGCAGATATCCTGTCTGCTGACGCCCACCCTGTGCAACCTGCTACAGACTCTGCAACATCCTTGCACACTGCTACTACTCCAGACGAACCATCTACTTCTCCAGTGGTACCTGAGACTGCACCAACTTCACCAGCTTCACCAGAAAATACACCAGCCGCACCCGAGACTACACCAGCTTCACAGGTACCTACACCTGATGCTTCTGAAAACCAACACTTGTTTTCCGATGATGACTCTACTGCCTCGATTGACGTTGAAGCACAATCACCATCTCCAGCAACACAGGAGTCTCCAAGAGTCTCCGCACTATATGATCAACGTGAACAACTTACACTTGGAACTCCCGAATACAGACGCCTCTCCAGCAAAATACTCAACACAAGGTATGCGGAATGCCTGCTGAATGATCCAAACTCAAAGTACATACTAAGGAACGAAGTAATCTTCGTTGAATGCGACGAAACCACATTGTCAAAGGACCTTTTCCCACCAGACTACGCCGATTACAAACATCAAATGATTACTCGAAGCAAGAAGAAAGAAGAAACACCAAATTGAAGAAGAAGAAGACACCACATGAAGACTGATTGTTTCCACCTTGAATGCTGAAGCACTGCCACCGCCGCCTTCCAGACCCGCCTCCAAGCCTAGCCAGTTGTTGGGTTGTTTGCAGCATCGATGTATTGCCACGCAGCTGGGTTTAGCCCTGGCACTTTTTCTTCAACTTCAGCATTTCCTCTCACCGACTACCCTTCAGCTGTCCCCACTTCAAGGCTCGCCCCAATGGGCATCTTCTTCTGTATTCAGTTCAGGCGACGCTTCACAACAACAGCCTCAGCCAACACCAATGCTACGACTTCAGCAACAAATACCACTTCTGCTTCTAACATCAACATCACCATCTCTTCAACTGCATTGGCAGATATCCTGTCTGCTGACGCCCACCCTGTGCAACCTGCTACAGACTCTGCAACATCCTTGCACACTGCTACTACTCCAGACGATCCATCTACTTCTCCAGTGGTACCTGAGACTGCACCAACTTCACCAGCTTCACCAGAAAATACACCAGCCGCACCTGAGACTACACCAGCTTCACAGGTACCTACACCTGATGCTTCTGCAAACCAACACTTGTTTTCCGATGATGACTCTACTGCCTCGATTGACGTTGAAGCACAATCACCATCTCCAGCAACACAGGAGTCTCCAAGAGTCTCCGCACTATATGATCAAGGTGAACAACTTACACTTGGAACTCCCGAATACAGACGCCTCTCCAGCAAAATACTCAACACAAGGTATGCGGAATGCCTGCAGAATGATCCAAACTTAAAGTACACACTAAGGAACGAAGTAATCTTCGTTGAATGCGACGAAACCACATTCTCAAAGGACCTTTTCCCACCAGACTACGCCGATTACAAACATCAAATGATTACTCGAAGAAAGAAGAAACACCAAATTGAAGAAGAAGAAGACACCACATGAAGACAGATTGTTTCCACCTTGAATGCTGAAGCACTGCCACCGCCGCCTTCCAGACCCGCCTCCAAGCCTAACCAGTTGTTGGGTTGTTTGCAGCATCGACGTATTGCCACGCAGCTGGGTTTAGCCCAGGCACTTTTTCTTCAACTTCAGCATTTCCTCTCACCGACTACTCTTCAGCTGTCCCCACTTCAAGGCTCGCCCCAATGGGCATCTTCTCCTGTATTATTCAATTAAAAAAAAAACTCGGCGACTAAATGAATTGTGGGGTTCAGTCCCTGAGCCCATTATGTGCCTCTGTAATCCTTTCCACTACCGCCCACAAGATGGGTATGGGGTGCATAATAAATGAACTAAACTAAAAAATATTAACCAGAGGATGTTATGACCCCAATGTAGCCTTGGCGGAACGAATTTACCCTAGTGAGAGTTATTCTGCCGACCGGACCTGATTGAGAGGCCAGAGGAAAGATGTATATATTAAATAACTAAATAAACGTCATTGAGTAATCTCAGGATATAAGCAGAGGATGAGCGTTGGTAATTAGTGACATGAAATGAGATGTCGATACTTTGGGGACGTGAAGTGAGGTTAGCAGGAGGTCATGACCTCATTTGAGTGTCGACTGTCGTCAAGGGTGGTTGTACTTCGTTGATTCTCCGGGAATACGAAGAGTATAGTTCCCTTTGTTAGTGCTGAAGTGAAGACTACTTGTCTGCAAGTGTGAGGAAGCTGTTGGGGACTTAGTACACAATTTCTCTGTGATTTTGATAATTAGAGGTGGCCTGGAAATGTGTTGGCTGCGCCTTGGTGAAACTAATTTTTGTGCCTTCAAGAGGAAGGAAGTGAGCAGACGTTTCTGTTATGGCGTCTGCCAGGCGACGTTGTGAACTCAAGTCGTGGACTGCAGGATACCTTGTGAAACAGTCCTGAAGCATTTTTGTGGGCGGTCTATGCGAGCGCCATGTGCTCACCTAGTTGTGCTTGCGGGGGTTGAGCTCTGGCTCTTTGGTCCCGCCTCTCAACCGTCAATCAACAGGTGTACAGGTTCCTGAGCCTACTGGGCTCTATCATATCTACACTTGAAACTGTGTATGGAGTCAGCCTCCACCACATCACTTCCTAATGCATTCCATTTGTCAACCACTCTGACACTAAAAAAGTTCTTTCTAATATCTCTGTGGCTCATTTGGGCACTTAGTTTCCACCTGTGTCCCCTAGTGCGTGTGCCCCTTGTGTTAAACAACCTGTCTTTATCAACCCTGTCAATTCCCTTGAGGATCTTGAATGTGGTGATCATGTCCCCCCTAACTCTTGTCTTCCAACGAAGTGAGGTTTAATTCCCGTAGTCTCTCCTCGTAGCTCATACCTCTCAGCTCGGGTACTAGTCTGGTGGCAAACCTTTGAACCTTTTCCATGTCTGAGCTCCGGTGAGTGGGCGTCCTAGCACCAGAGATTTCGGCGGTAAGCCTTTTTAATCGTTTGTTAGTTTAGCCACTAGTGTTTAATCGTTTATCAAAATTTAAAAAAGCATTTGCCAGTCATCTGACCATTTGTGGAGTGCATGTAGATCTTTGTAAGGTCTCAATATCACCTTCACTTCCTACTTTACCGTAAATCTTAGGGTCATCTGCAAATTTGATGATGTGGTTTGTAATATTTTCCTGTCACTGATGTATATGACAAAAAGGGTTGGCCCCAAAATGGACCCCTATGACACCCCCACTTAGCACATTTCCCCAGTCAGATTCATTCCCTTTGTTTTCTGTTTTAATCATTCCAGTATTCTCCCATTTATTCCATATGCCTGTAATTTCCTTGCCAGTCTATCATGTGGTAACTTGTCAAAAGCTTTAGCAAAGTCCATGTAAGCTACATCTACCAGAAGTCCTTTGTGTGAATAGCCGGTTACTGTTTCCAGAAATGAGCAGGTTAGTAAGGCAGGATCTATTTTTAACAAAGCAATGTTGCGTTGATTTTTACAATTTTGTTCTTTGCAAGATGTACGATTCCTTCCCTTAGGATTCTCTAAGCTGAACCCTTGCGACCTGTGCAATCACAGGGACCTAGCGGAGGGCCACCCAAATAATGCAAGTGGTCCTATAGCCACACCAGACAAAACAAAAAAGATAATAAACGACCCGCAAGAACACGTCGCCTCCAGGAGGAACATAACCAGCCGCTATGTGTATTATAAGACCGCTGCACAGTACCTTGCGCCCCGTCCCAGCAACGATACTACCTCCTACCCGAGGCCAAACAGTGGTAGGAAAATTCCCAGCTGACCTCAAGGGCGGGCAATCACCAAGCAGCAAAAGAACCTTCCGGAGGGAGTTCCTAAACAGTTTGTGGAAGGTAACCCCAAACTGCAAGGGCAGTACTTACAGGGCACCTTGTAACGTTTCTGAAATCTAATCTACCCTCTCTAGTTATCCCCAGCTCCTAGTAGTGAGGAATATAGTTATGGGAGGAGTAGGTGAGAAGGTGGAAAGGGTAGAAAACGGGAATACGGAAGGAAGAACTGAGGTAGAGAGGGGGTGGGCGAGGACAGAATGCTATTTTTGAATTTATTTCTATGATTCTACTCAAACTATGGTTCACCTCAAATTTTTATTGACTAAATAATTCAGCACTTTTTTCATACAGAGGATTTTGATAAATCAGTTCCACATATTTAAATGATCTGTAAATAACCAATCAATGAAAAAGTTTATAAACTTGTTAAATCACTGGCACCTTGTACATTAGCGTTTGCAATTTGTTGCGCGGCTATACAGTACTCATTTTCATACAAATATTTTTATATCAAAATATGAGTTGTATCCCTGTAAGTTCATAAAGATGGTAACTTTAATGTATAGGTGAGCGAACAGCTGGATGGGGGTTATCCACCCTGGACAAAAACCTCACTGACAGAATGCTAAAATGTTAGCTATAAATGCAGCAGCTCTATCTATGCAACATAGATAGAGCTGCTGCTTGATAAATGTTTGATCTTGCAAAGCATTTCTAACATTAAGAGCTTAGTTATTTCAAGTTTGCACCCTTGTCTAAATAAAATCACCTTGCATAGTGACTGCTTTAACCATTGCACTGTGCCAAACAACAAATGCTGTTTTGAGAGTTGTCTGATTTTTTTTAATTAGGCCATATTTTTATGATTTTTAATGTTTTCATCACTCTGTGTTTTGAAATTAATATAGTTGAGTTTAGAAACATTTTGACATTAACTTTACCTGAACATTTATAAAAACCAAAATATGTCCTTAACAATTGCACTATGAAGTTTATGCCCAAAACAGGTGCGCAGTGCAGGGGTTAAAACATGACGATTAGACTTTTGTGACATCCTGGAATGTGCATCTCAAAATACTGTTAATAAAAAAGCATTTTCAATATTATAATTATGAAATTAGCAGAGAAGCCTCAACTTTATAAAAATATTCCTTTTACATTTAGAACTACATATTTAATCTTTTGTCATTATATACAATATAATTATAAGCAACTTTTAAAGTTAAAATTATTTGATTGCCTATTTATGAAATTTTATGGACATCTTCTGTTCAACTTCTGTTCTCTCCAATGCAGCACAGAATTCTTCATAGCCTATCATCTGGTCACCATCATGGTCAGCCTCGATAATGGTTCGTTCTGCAATACTGTTGAGTTGCTCATCACTGTAAATGATATTTAATTCATCTAGTGTTAGATATCCAATGATATAATAGAGTACTGTACACGTACAGTATTACACATTTCCATATTTTTATCGTCACACTTTGTGACGTGTAATTTTGAAGAGAAATGTTGCATATATATTCACGAATGTGAATATAAGCAAAACACTTGCTGCTATTGCTTATTAACTGAATAAATTAAGCTTGCAAATAAGCAATAGTAACAAGTACATAAAAACAAGATAGAAAATGTGGGACAAGAACACTGGATGCTGCCAGACAATATTTCGATACACACTTTCCCTGTAAAATGTGGAGGAAGGTGGTACAAATACTCAGGCAGGCCTTTTTAATCTCAAAATTTGAAGTGATGGGTGCCAATAAACAGTGTGTAACAGTGGTACCCTTTTGTGACTGGTGTACAAGTGAACAAGGGAAGCAATGCCAAGTAAATGTCATGCTAGTCAGTGAGTTTTCGTCCCAATGTGAGAAGATGCATAAAATCTTGAGGGCAGTATCTGTTTCTCATACAATGTATTAAAGTGCTTCTGGAGGATGAAAATATTAATCTTTAGACATCTATAGCCAACTCTTAGAAATGTCATTTTATGAGAAATTGCATTGTATACAAATATTTAAATACGGATGTTGACTATATGGTTTCAATAGCTCAGTGGTGTCTTCCAGTAACTGTGTCATCCAGGCATCAAGCACCTAGTCTCTATTCATTACACGACAATTAGCCTTTACTTAGGTCAACAGAAATACTACTTAGCCTACACTTTTTATGGAATATATTCTTAAGGAGAGTATAGAATACAAGATGCCATCAAGAGCTCTTCTTATAATCGAGTGACTTATAATCTTATAATAAATAATGTTATTTAGAATCATAATTTAGAGAGCACAAAATATAAGTTTAACATCAGCCGGGAAAATTAAGGGGGTGGATAATTAGACCTTCCAAACAAGCAATGTAACATCACTGGGACATTGCATATCACACTGTTGCTCTTGTTTGGCATAGTTGTGCGTTCAGAAAAGATACAAAACTGCTCCCTTTACATCTTTACAGATTCAAGCAAGCATAAAAACCGACATCTTTGCAAAACACTCAAAACTGTATTATCTGGAATGAAGACAAGATAAAGCATGTAATATAAACATGGAGAACATGAAAATCAGGTTCCAATCCTGCACAATTGAATTCCAATATACTAGAAAGAGATAGAGTAAAAACAATAAAAAGAATGAGTGCAACAAATCAAGAGAACAGAAATTCGTGACTTTCAACTTCCTACCAGCAAATATAGGAAATAGTTCTGGAACAAAGGAGCTCCTGGATCACTGTACTACAATGTATACAGGAACCTCATCAGGTGTGACTAAACTGAGAAAAGCCACAGTGTGAAAATATTAAAGCATGCACCAGTCAGGATCATTTACAGTAGTTTCTAAAGGGGGCGAGACATTACACAAGCAAACATCCACAGTCTGAAAGGTGTTAGGTAAATATGTATGCCTGCACCCCTCGGCTGTGGTTTCACCACCAAACACATGAGAGCATAAATACAATGGGAGAGGAAGAGAGAGCAGATTTAAGGGAACTTGGAGGGTTGAGGGAGGTGGGGGGGAGGTGGGGGGGGGGGGAAGAGAGGGGGAACTGGAGGAGTGGGGGAGAGGGGAACTGGAGGGTTGAGAAAAGAGAGGGGGACCTGGAGGGTTAAGGGGAGGAGGGAGGGAGGGGACCTGGAGGGTCGAGGAGGGAGGGGACCTGGAGGGTCGAGGAGGGAGGGGACCTGAAGGGTTGAGGAGAGAGGGAGGGAGGGGACCTGGAGGGTTGAGAGGAAGGCAGATGGGAACTGGAGGGTTGAGGGGGGATGGGGAACTGGAGGGCCAAGGATGTTGTGGGGGAAGGGGGGCCAAGAATGTTGTGGGGGAAGGGGGGCCATGGTGGGAGTGTTAAATAGTTTATAAACACACATGACCATGGGCTTTCCAGACACCAGTTTTGATCTTCAACAACACCTCACTTAATTTGTTTCAACTACAGTACTTATGTTATCCAAATGTCAACCACTCTGTTTGCAAAAGATAACTTTCTAATATTTTTTCCAGCACCTTCGTTTCCTTAGCTTGAATTTGTGACATCTTGTTCTTGAAATTGCTGGTTTCAGGAATTCCTGTCAATATGGTTGATTCCTATTAGCATTTTCACCTCTTTTTTTTTTTTCACCTTTTTTTTCCATCTTCTAGTGTTGGCATATTTAACGCCTCTAGCCTCTTGTAACTCTAGTTTTTCAGTTCGCAAGTCATTTTGGAGCATGCCTTTGCAGGTTTTCTAGTTAATGTGCAAAGGCATGTCTTCTATAATACTATCATGGCTAAATAATACAAGTTATATGTATATTTTGACATTATTGGGTGATGCTATGGTCACACGCTGAACAGCAGTGCTGTGCGCTCATGCTGCGAGCGCCAGCCTTGGTTGCTCACTCACTACTGAGGCTCTCACACCCGGGAATGTGGACCACGATTTTTTTTTTTAAAGATGGTGTCTGTTTACAAGAGCCCTGAGGAAGTTGATGTGAACCCCATGTAGCCGCGGAAGTTTTATATGGAACGTGAAAAATACAAATACCCGGAGGCGTGTAGTGCACCCCAGACGTGAGCCTGCAGGCGCGTTGCGCAGTTAAAGGGTTAATGTGTTGATACATGGATGTTTCCAGCATGAGGTTTACAAATCTACAGGTTCAAAAGTCCTCTGTTCTAGCTTCATATGACTCCCAGTGTATGGATTTAATGTTGAAGTCACCGAATATCAACAGTCGTGATCTATCTTTATCCACTCTTGCTATAATCTCTCATTATTGTTATAAGATCCCCTCGTTTATAATCCAGCTCCTCCTTTGTCCATGTGTTGCATGGCGGTGGACTATATGCATTTATGATCATTAGTTTATCATCCTGATTGCAGATCTCTAGTGCTTGTATGTCAACTTCTTGTGGATTGGCAATCATTATTTAGTTTACCTTTAGGTGTTCTTTCACTAGCACAGCAATGCCACCACCTTTCCTAATTTTTCTGTCCTGTCTCCAAACAACCGAGCAGCCAATTGGGAATATGACCATTTAAAATATCATGTTTCATCTCAATAAGTGCAACAATGTCTGGCGTCTGAAGCTGTATCACATCACTTATTGATCATCACATCACTTTCGGGACCTGCCCGAAACGCTGCGCTTACTAGTGGCTTTACAAGAATGTAAATACTGTACTATCCAATGTATTCTCACAAACCCAATGTACCTTCTTGTATATATATAAATAAATAAATAAATAAATAAATAAATAAATAAACTTAGTTCTAGTATTTTTGAACTCGCTCCATCTGTGTTGGTGTATACAATTTTCAGGAACATGTTCCCTCTCTCCTTATTCTTCACTCCCCCTTTCTCTAGTGATTTTGATGGTTTGCCTTTTTGCACCATTTTACTGGCTTGCCTACCCCTATCACCTTGTAGAAAAAAGAATTGATTTCTTATTCTTTCCTACTCTCACTTAGACGTTTTGCCTCTGAGGTTCAGTTTCAGCTTCTCTGTCTTCTTTTGAAAGATCTCGTCTTAATGACCATAATTTCCCTTCATCACTTTTGTAATATCCTAACATTCCTTAATACTTCTTCCATCTATTTGGCACCGATTAGGGTGATCCTCAACGGTTGATTTTTCCCTTTTTCATACCTGCCAATTCTTATGTAGTCGCAGACATTCTCTATGGTTGTAAGACCATAGTGTGTGCTCACCTAGTTGTGCTTGCAGGGGTTGAACTCTGGCTCTCTGGTCCTGCCTCTCACTTGTCAATCAATTGGTATACAGGTTCCTGAGCCTATTGGGCTCTATCATATCTACACTTGAAACTGTAGAATCAGTCTCCACCACATCACTGCCTAATGCATTCCATTTGTCAACCACTCCGACACTAAAAAAAATTCTTTCTAATATCTCTGCGGCTCATTTGGGCACTCAATTTCCACCTGTGTCCCTTAGTGCGTGTGCCCCTTGTGTTAAATGGCCTGTCTTTATCTACCCAGTCAATTCCTCTAAGAATCTCCTCGTAGGTCATACCTCTCAGCCCGGGTACTAGTCTGGTGGCAAACTTTTGAACCTTTTCCAGTTTAGTCTTATGCATGACTAGATATGGACTCCATGCTGGGGCTGCATACTCCAGGATTGATCTGACATAGGTGGTATACAAAGTTCTGAATGATTCCTTACAAAAGTGTCTAAATGCTGTTTTTATGTTAGCCAACCTGGCATATGCTTCTGATGTTATCCTCTTGATATGGGCTTCAGGGGACAGGTCTGGCGTGATATCAACCCCCCCCCCCCAAGTCTTTCTCTCTTTCTGACTCTTGAAGAATTTCATCTCCCAAATGATACCTTGTAACTGGCCTCCTGCTCTCTACACCTATCTTCATTACATTACATTTGCTTGGGTTAAACTCTTAATAACCATTTGTTCGACCATTCCTTCAGTTTGTCTAGGTCTTCTTGAAGCCTCAAGCAGTCCTCCTCTGTCTTAATCCTTCTCGTAATTTTGACATCGTCAGCAAACATTGAGAGGAATGAGTCTATATCCTCCGGAGATCGTTTACATATATCAGAAACAGGATAGGACCAAGTACAGAGCCCTGTGGGACTCCACTGGTGACTTCATGCCAATCTGAGGTCTCACTCCTCACTGTAATTTTTTGCTTCCTATTGCTTAGGTACTCCCTTATCTACTGGAGCACTTTACCAGTTACTCCTGCCTGTCTCTACAGCTTATGTACCAGCCTCTTATGGGGGACTGTGTCAAAGACTTTCCGACAGTCCAAAAAAATGCAGTTCGCCCAGCCTTCTCTTTCTTGTTTAATCTTTGTCACCTGGTCGTAGAATTCTATTAAGCCAATAAGGCAAGATTTACCCTCCCTGAACCCATGTTGGCAATTTGTCACAAAGTCCCTTCTATCCATGCGTGTTACTAGATTTTTTCTCACGATCTTCTCCATCACCTTGCATGGTACACAAGTTAAGGACACTGGCCTGTAGTTCAGTGCCTCTTGTCTGTCACCCTTTTTGTATATTGGGACCACATTAACCGCCTTCCATATTTCTGGTAGGTCTCCAGTCTCCAGTGACCTACTATACACTATGGAGAGTGGCAAGCAGAGTGCCTCTGCACACTTTCAATACCCATGGTGAGATCCCATCTGGACCAACAGCCTCTCTCACATCCAGATCCAACAGGTGTCTCCTTACCTCATCTCTCATAATTTCGACCCCTTCCAAGGCCGCCTGGTGTACTGCCTCTCTCCTAGTGTAGTGACCACACCTTGTTCTATTGTGAAGACCTCCTGGAACCTCTTGTTGAGTTCTTCACACACCTCTGTCATTCTCTGTATACCTGTCCTCATCTGTTCTAAGTTTCATTTCCTGTTCTTTCACTGTTTTCCTCCTGATGTGACTGTGGAGTAGCTTTGGTTCAGTGTTGGCTTTGCTTGCTATATCATTTTCATCATTTTGTGTGTGTGTGTGTTAATCACTATGTCTAATTGCAATTTGGTTCATTTACCTAATGTTCTCTCCAACCATCATATGGAGAACAGCAAGAAGTTCTTCCCGAGAGATACGCTCATCGTCATCAAGATCATACATTTTGAAGGCAACTGGAAAAGTACAACAGGAGAATTAAAGGACAGTACAGCAGTGTACTATAATATCTATAAAGTACATGGTAAGATTTTCAAAACATAATGCAGCTTCCTATAGCACAATTTTTAGCTATCAATAACATTAACAATAAATGATTTTTTTTTAAAGAGGCTTGGTTGGGGAAGAAGACCTGGTCAGGGTCACAGGGACGTTGATCCTGGAAATCATCGCAAGGTAAGGTGTGTGTATAATATACAGAACCCTAAACTTATTTTGCTACTGGAAACCTTAAAAACCTGGTTCAGTGTGTGTAAATTATAAGGACAGCTTCAATAAACTGGAGTTTATATGACATGTATTATTTTAGAATACAGTATATGTAAAATATACTATAGTTTATGATTATTAGGTATACATTATAATTGAATTGATATAAAATACATAAAAATGCAGAGTAAACATTTGGTACTTCAGTGCAATGGTGCAGAATAATAATGCTATTCTTAATTTACAGCTAAACTCAAAATGAAAACCATTTCAAATTGTTAGAAGCTTATTTTACATAGCAATACTTACAACGCAGCTTCTCTTCCCGAGCATTAAGTTTGTTATCTTGATTGCACTTGATAGGCCGAAAGTGAGCCAAGACGCGTGCAAACTGACGAAAGTTCACATGATCATCTTCACTTTCCTAAATGGACAAACAAAAATAAAGAAATATGAAAAAAAGAACTTATACCGATATGAAATATCTTAATATAAACATAACCTTCCCAGTTTGGTGCCTTCTTTTTGATAATTACTTACTTACTATCCTAACATAAACTGGCTGCAAATGTTTTTTATTCTAGCACTTACAAAATCCAAAAGGTGGAGTTGACAAAAGAAATATCAATGTGAAATGACTAATTTTGTTGGTGGGAGATGAATGCAGAATAGAATATTGAAAGATATACAAATAAGTGTTTCACTGTATAAATGCTAAAATATGGGTGTGAATAATGTCCAGATATCGGGAAGTGATATTGTGCCATACAACTGGAGAGGAAAATAGCTATAAAAATATAAAATGAGTAAATATAGTAAGAGTAGAAACTACAGATATTAGGTTGTAAATACTGTACTAGTGGACAAAAATGGCAGAATGAGAAAATCATTTGGAACCATGGGGAGGATTCGATCCTGCACTCTGGGTACTTCCAAGCTAGCCTAAAAAAAATGGAAGATGATGCACAATAAGTAATGTAACCTGGGATTCAACTAATTTTCATTGTTTCAGGTTTCATTGATACATGATGTATCAATGAAACAAATTCAAACCTGCATGCTGGGTACAGTACATCATGTTAATATGATTTCTTTGTGTAATTGGCAGAATAATGAATAGAAGAGTACATAAAAAGCCAGTCAATGATGAATGAGGTGTTTTCTGTTGTGGAAGAGCTTGCAAAAATTATATATTTGTATTGAGACAGCTAGTGGAGAAAGCATGTAAAACAAACCAAAAGGTGTATTGTACATGCTATTTAATTACTAAAAGAAATCATATTACAAAGTTAGTAGAGGGGAATCTTTAGAGTAATAAGCTTGTACAGTAACAAGTTAAGGAATGAAAATGTGCTGAAGAGCTAAACTGTGCACAGAGCGACTTGTGTACTCGCCTATTTGTGCTTGCGGGGGTTGAGCTTTGGCTCTTTGGTCCCGCCTCTCAACTGTCAATCAACAGGTGTACAGATTCCTGAGCCTACTGGGCTCTATCATATCTAAATTTAAAACTGTGTATGGAGTCAGCCTCCACCACATCACTGCCTAATGCATTCCATCCATTAACTACTGACACTGAAAGTTCCTTCTAACGTCCCTGTGGCTCATGTGGGTACTCAGTTTCCACCTGTGTCCCCTTATTCGCGTCCCACCAGTGTTGAATAGTTTATCCTTGTTTACCCGGTCGATTCCCCTGAGGATTTTGTAGGTTGTGATCATGGTAGTGTGTGATATTAATGTAAGAGAATGGTGTCATGTCCCATGGTTATTAGATATACTGTATACAGTATATTGGAGGCCATGAGGGAAGTCAATGTCAGAATTCTAAGAAAAATGTGATCAAGAATAAATTCAGTACAGTAAATAATTTGATGTATACAGAAGCAGCATCAGCTCCTCTGGGTGACACTGCTAATATACATTTGTAAATTAGCTGAAAGTTGTGGACTTTTGAGAGAGAAAACTGCTAAAAGTAAATCTGGATTAAGTAAAGTAATGGTCATGAAGAAAACTGTAAAATAAAAGCAAACTAAAAAATGTGGTTGATTAATTTTCAGTGCATACCAAGGGCCAGGTTCCATTAAGCATTTCTGTGTCCACTTATGGGACTTAAATCTTTCATCAGTCATGATGGTTCAGTTTGCATTTATTAAACAGTCAATGAGCTACAAAATGCAACAAAGTTGTCCATAATAATAACCTGGGGTCAAGAATGAACTTGCAGCATTTCCAAGCTAATTAACCATTTAGTAAATACATACCAATCTGCTATGACGAGAAAAATGTACAGATCTCAGAAGTGGTCATGTAAATGTTTGATGAATTCTGGGGTCTGAAATATACTATAGTGAAGTTAGTGCAATAAAAGCCCTGGTTGTGAAGAATAAGACATGAGATGATGAGAGGGCTGCATGAAGGAGTTGTACAGCCCACCCCATGTACAAATCTAAAATGCTGATGTGATACGATAACGGAAAAAATCAAAAGTTAACTGAACAGACAATATTAAAACAAAATTTGTCGGAATAAGGAATTTAAATGCCATGAAAGACAAAGTGCAAATATTGGCAAATTAAGACCGAGGACAGATCAACATGGTTTGGTCATAATGAAAAGAATGGACTATGATAATCTAGGGAATTTTAAACGAGGTGCTTATTTTCGAATCTATTATAATATTTTTAAGTCACAGCTAAATAGTTTTACAGTACATTTCTGATGCCTCGTTTCCTTTGGGAATGAGTGTCGTTTCTTAACCCCTGGGCTGCTCAAGTGTTGATAGCCGACAAAATCCCCTACCCAGTGCATAAGAATTTTTTTTCCTTTTAATCATAGAAAATAAATCACAGAACAACTTGAGAGCTGCACCCTATCTCAAGAACGACAATAAAGGCTGGTAGAGAAACAAACAATTGTATGATTCTTGCAGTTTTAGTTCAACGTTCAACAGTTTAGTTTACATGTGGAAAAAACTAGAGGGGCTGGTCCCAAACCTGTGAACAGAAATAACACCCCATAAGATCAGAAGGCATGGCAGGATGTGCAGAATACCCCTAACAGAAGAGGTGCAATGACTCCTGTCTCTCTCCGGTTTTGTCTCTTCTCTTCTGTGTTGAGAGTTCTCTGAGAGAACGCTCATCAGAGGCCTTAGGATGTTCAACAAGTTTCCACAACACACAAGGGGCATAACTGGCCGACCCTTCACATTGTTCAAAAGAGAACATGATTAACACCTCCAAAGGATACCTGATCAACCAGGCTGTGATTCATCCGTCAGGCTGTGAGCAGCCTCGTCCGACAGCCTGGTTGACTCAGTCCAGCAACGAGGAGGCCTGGTCAAGGACCGGGCCGCGGGGACTTTGAGCCCTGAAAGCATTGCAAGGTAACCACAAGGTAATAATGTAAGGCAAGGTAGAGGTGGTTTTGGATTGTAAGCTGTTGTCAGAGGAACAACGAACATTGCGAGAGGAGTGTACGAGTCTCTTTCCAACTTCAGACTTGCTCTTAATTATGTGAATGGTGAAATACTTTAGAAACTGTTCATGACCTTTCAGAGACCAAAATTGAAATATGCAGCAGTTGTATGGCCACCTGCAGCAGCAGGTGGCCAAATCTCAAGCAGCACATAAATAAACTGGACAAGGTGACACGGCATGCTACAAAATGGCTTTCAGAACCAAAAAACAAGAGTTACGAGGAGGAACTACAGGTGTTAACCATGCCAAAACTAGAAGATAAAAGAAAGAGAGACGATATGATCACCACTAACAAAATATTAACAGGAATCTACCAAATTGACAAAGAGGAATTCCTGAAACCAGCAGTTCCATGAACAGGAGGACACAGATTCAAGCTAAAGAAACAAAGGTGCCAAAAAATTATCAAGTTTTTTTTGCAAACAGTGGAAGATGGTTGGAATAAGCTAAGTGAGAAGGTGGTGGAAGCCAAAACTGTCAGTAGTTTCAAAGCGTTATAGGACAAACAATACTGGGAAGATGGGACACCACGAGCATAGCTCTTATCCTGTAACTACACTTAGGTAGTTACGCGTGCACGCACACAATGACATGGGTGGAAGCTGGAAACTCAGATTAGTCAGAGATATTAGGAAACTTTCTTTTAGCATGAGAGTAGTGGCAAAATGGAATGAACTTAACAGGTTGTGGAAGCAAACTATTCATAATTTTATAATTAGATATGATAGAACAGGAGTCATTGCTATAAACAACCGATGGCCAGAAAGGCGGAATCCAAGAGTTAATGCTCGATCCAGCAGGCACAAACAGGCGAGTACAAATAGGTGAGCACACACACTTAACACATACGATATAATCTAGTAGAGAATGGGGCACATTAAAAAAGTTGATAAACTCGATTTCAAGAGAGGACACTATGGGGGACTTAGAATTTTTATTAATGAGTATAATTGGACAGACTTGTTGCTAGGCAAGGAAGTAAATGAGATGTATGCCAAATTTTGTGAAATATACGATGAAGGCACACAAATGTCCATATCAAAACAGAGATGCAGACCTAGGAAACAAGGTTGGTTCAACAGAAATTGCAAGAGGACCAGAGGCCAAAAGTTATAAACATGGAATCATTATAGGAAGAGGCCAAATCCTCAAACATACCAGCGATACAGAGATGCGAGAAACAACTACACGACAGTAAAGAGAGGAACTTTGAGAATGATACAGCACACAAATGTAAATCAGATCCAGGCCGTCTCTATAAATTCATTAAAAGCAAGCTGCAAGTAAAGGATAATATTCAGAGGTTGAAAATGGGAGACAGATTCACAGAAAAGGAAATGTGTGAAACATTAAACAAAAAGTTCCAAAATGTGTTTGTACAAAATGAAATCTTCAGAGAACCAGACACACTATGAATTCCAGGGAACAACATAGCGCACATAGGTGTCTAGAGATGAAGGGAAACAAAAATGCTCAAGGAATTAAGAAAGAACAAAGCAGTTGGTCCAGATGGAGTTTCATCATGGGTTCTGAGAGAATATGCACCCGAGCTCAGCATTCCACTTCAACTGATTTTTCAGTTGTTTTAATATAACAGATATACAAGTTTCCTAAAAACAGTTTGCACAGGCTGAAGTTTGCTCCAAAAATATTGCGAGTTTTTTTCCGCTTGGCGGCTTACGTAACGTGCCTGTCTGCCCCAAGTGGACTTGTCCAGGCCTGGTCAAACCAAACAGCCCATGTGCTCTCGACCCTCGTGTTATACCAGTGTCACGCCATTGGTGAACCATTTTTTTAAATAACTTTTTTGTTTTCATAGTAACTTTTATCCTTTTTTGGCCAAGACTGTCTGGTAGCAGCATCAATAGTTCTGGAGGTGTTATGAGGAAGAAGATTACCCTAACAATTAAAGACAAGTTACGTGTTATACAACTTTGTGAAAGTGGCCGGTCAACTTCAAGTGTTGCCAAGGACTTTAATATAGGCACTAGTACTGTTTCTGATATAAGGAAACAAAAAGAGCAATACCTGAAATACATTTCAACCAGTAAGAGTGAAGGTGCAAGCACTAGTAGAGGGTGTTATCTTGAGGTTATCTTGAGATGATTTCGGGGCTTTAGTGTCCCCGCGGCCCGGTCCTCGACCAGGCCTCCACCCACAGGAAGCAGCCTGTGACAGCTGACTAACACCCAGGTACCTATTTTACTGCTAGGTAACAGGGGCATAGGGTGAAAGAAACTCTGCCCATTGTTTCTCGCCGGCGCCTGGGATCGACCCTGGGACCACAGGATCACAAGTCCAGCGTGCTGTCCGCTCGGCCGACCGACCGGTGTGGTAGAAGAACTTTGAAGACTTCAAAGCATGTACAGTTGGATGAAGCTGTGTAAAAGTGGCTTGCTCAGCACCGCACAGCTGGCGTGACAATTCGTGGCCCAGAAATACAAAATGTTGCAAGCAGGTTTGCAGCAAGCCTTGAAATAAAGGATTTCCAAGCAAGTGAAGGGTGGGTTGCAAGGTTCAAAGGGAGGCACAATATTGTGAAGATGAAAATTGTTGGTAAAAAATTGAGTGCAGATACAAGCAGTGTAAATCCATTTAAAAACATAAATTTAGAACACACATTTTTGTCAAATAATTTATATTCTTATCAAGTTTATAATGCTGATGAAACTGGGCTGTATTGGAGGAGTTTACCAGAAAAAACTCTAGTTATGAGGAGTGAGGGTTGTGTGCCAGGCCGTATAAGGTTGAAAAAGACAGGCTATCGGCCATGTGTGCCAATGCCAACAGCACAGACAGAATCACAGGTGCAGTTGTTGGCAAATCAAAGAAACTAAGAGCCTAGCAATATTGCTTGGACAGACTGCCTGCGAAATATTATAACTCAAGGAATGCATGGTTTACACAGGAGATTTTTCTTTCTTGGTTTCCATGACGTGTTCTGAAAGGAAGTTCGTGACCATCAAGTTAAACTCAAAGTGAGGCCATGCGAAGTTTGGGCTATGCTGTTGCTTGATAATGCATCTGCCCACCCCAGAATTGACATGTTAACCTCACATGATGGCAAGATAACGTGTATGGCACTTCCTCCTAATACAACCTCTTTCATCCAGCCTATGGATCAGGGAGTTATCTGTGCCATGAAGAGGTTGTACACCAAAAAGATGCTCAACGAAGTTTTGGTGGTTTTGCCTTTTGGGGAAGATATGGAACTCGACATGGATAAGAGGGCTAAAAGAACTCTTGAGAATTTGAAGACCTATTCTATCAAGGAAGCCATCTATAACTGGGCCAAGGTGTGGGGTGAAGTAAAGGAATTGACTTTGAAGAATTCCTGGAGAAAAAACTTCTCATGTCCATGGTCAGCAATGAGGAGAATGAAGAAATGAATTTTGAAGGCTTCACAGAAATCCATGGAATGTTCAGAAATGCTGGCAAAAATTTAGAAAGACAAGGATGTGGTTATTTGGCATGAAAGAGATGCTAATGACCCAGGTTATGGTGTGATGAGTAAAGAGATTCTCCAGTCTATTACTGGTGAGGTCGACAGAGGCGAAGGATGAAGAAGACGGTGAGGAACCAACACCAAAGACAACAAAATACAGTTTATTCATGTCCTCTGTTGACCTGTAAATTAATTTTTCAACCAACTGTGCTCAGCCAGAAGTTGGAAACATGTATCAGTACCTGAGGCAAACCAAAGAGCTGAACATAAAACAGGCCAATGAACACAGAAGGCAAGCTAAACTTGATTCTTATTTGGTAAGAAAAGCAACCAAAGGCCCTTCAACCAGTGAGGTGTCACAGGCAAGCCAAATGCCTTCAACCAGTGAGGCTTCAGCAGCTGGCAGTCAAAACTAACTTTGCCTCATGAACTGTACAGTAATTTTTAAGTGTTAATTTTAATGTGTTAGAATAGGTTACGTAAATTGTCAAGAATTCTTAACTTCAAGATGTGTAGCATCAGTCAAGAAGACGAACTACAACAAGGTGAGTTTAGGTTTATAGTTGAATATTTTATAATTATATGTGGCAATTCAAATTAGATTGTTTGCGGTATAAAAATTGTTAAAAATGGTCCCTTTTGGACTTCCGCAGTAAAAAAGTACGTCAATTCTCAAGAATCGACTTGAGAATGGTCCAGGACGGACCGAAACGTCGTCGTCCCTTCACCTGCCAAGTGTGTGGTCTGGTCAACATACTTTAGCCAAGTTATTGTGACTCATCGCCTGCCTAGGCCAAATTGCTTGTGAAACGTGGGGCAAGTGTATTAACACTGCCCCATGAGGACTGTTGTTGTTGGCTCTTTGGTCTTTTAACTATTCCTGGTACGAGAGTAGACTTGGCTCAGGAATGATTTCTGTTGCCCAATGTTGCACTTTCTCCAGAGCAGCCATGTCCTTCTGAAGATATACCTACACCAATACAACCCCAAATAATGAATACAAATTAAGCAAGTTTAGATTCAGATAAGACCTTGGTAATACTGATTTAGAAATGGGTTTGTAGACTTATGAAACAAATTACTGAATAATATAAGAGGCATGGGATATTCTAATTGTTTTAAGTGTAGGTCAGATATACATATGAGTAAGTTTGGTTTGATATAATAAGGAGCTGCCTCACATGAGCCAAAAGAACTTCTAATGTTTCTCTTATCCTTTTGTAATATAAGGTGTGAATGATACATAGAATGCAAGTGATTTGTTAATTTTGTAATATCTAACATTCTTATGCTATATACAGTACCTGTAGTTCCCTTTCTATTCTATGAGAAATAGAGTAATGGTAATGTCAATGTCTTGCACTGTACACAGTTCAGCAATGAAATGGCTAAAATAAAGTAGAACAAATAAATTCATGGATAAAATTTAATTTTAATTTAATAATTGTTTGATTCATTTTAAGTTTTAATATTTTATACTACCTGCATAAATATTTAGGCTATACAAAAAATACTTGCCTTAAAGAATGCATGAACAATACGGTCACCAAGAGGGTTTATTGCTAACTCAGGGATGCGGAGGAAATCTTCACGCGATAGCAAGCCATTGTCCCCTTTATCCAAACTTGTGAAACGGCTGTATAGTCGCTCTATTTGACTTGGCAAAACTGTTAAAATTCAAAATCAAATATTGTATATGTTAGCTCAATATCTTTATAACAACTAAGTACTGTACTGTATTAGAATATTTAACATCGGGTAAAACTAATCGTCTTAACATAATGAAAAGCGTGCTAAAGTCGTGTCATCTGAAATAATAAACCGGCACCAAACCAACTTATTTTGTCATGTTGAGCTACATAATATTTATCAAGATTAAATATAATTCAGGCTTATGCCATTCTTGAACTGAATAAAAAATTAGTTACACAATATAAATACAATTTTACTTTATTAATAATTTTTATTGCATGTTGAGTATAGAAATGTCATCTTTCAATGCGTTTACAGTACAGTATTTAATTTTAAATAAAGTAGCAAGAAATGTAATAGGCCTATGTTTTCCTGAATCAAATAGAATATTGCTCCATGGGTCTCCACATTAGTGTAGTAGCAAAGCTACAAAACAGGGCTACTCTTACCGATTGGTAAATTAACAATATATACTAGTATATATATATCAAGCACACCTGTATTTTATCTGCTGATGAGCGTTTCAATATTTACCAAATTCTTAGTCTTACCCATAAAATACACTTCCCTAAATATATTTATAGCATATATATCACTGATGGAATGTAAATGCAAGGTAATGTGACTATCAAGTGAAAAGCACTAAGGCAGCATCATTACACTTTAAGTATAAGACTTTCGAAGGGATATGTATACAGAGAGAAGTGATGGCACCCAAACCCTTGGTCATAAGGGATCAAACTTTGATGGTGCACGAAGTGAGGTCGTTGCTGTACCAGTCAAAGTGGATGGAGGGCCATTGTAAAAATTAAAGATGTAAACAGTATACAAAAATTTGATAACACTCATTATAAGGCAGCCATGAGATACCCCTTAACTACCCTCTACACCCAATGCTAAATAGTTTTGCAAATACTACACCACACATATGTACTTATGTGGATCCTGTGGCATAGTGATCTACATCCTCGACTCACAATCGAGAGACCCAGGCACAATCTCCCGGACAGAACAAATAGAAAAGCAAGTTTCCTTTCATCTGATGCTTTTATCTTCCTTTCATCTGATGCTTTTATCTTCCTTTCATCTGCGTGTTGCATCCTGGGGAAGGTCAGTAGGTGGCCTAGGCATAACTTCAATAAACCTTAGCTTCGTTCCTGTTGGGGCACAGGAAGCCGGTCGACCGTGCGGACAGCACGCTGGACTTGTGATCCTGTGGTCCTGGGTTCGATCCCGGGCGCCGGCGAGAAACAATGGGCAGAGTTTCTTTCACCCTATGCCCCTGTTACCTAGCAGTAAAATAGGTACCTGGGTGTTAGTCAGCTGTCACGGGCTGCTTCCTGGGGGTGGAGGCCTGGTCAAGGACCGGGCCGCAGGGACACTAAAAAGCCCCGAAATCATCTCAAGATAACCAAGATGACAGGAAGCCCTGGCTTTTTGTCCCCAACAACAGGAATTATCATATTTTTGTATTATGAACACATTAAATTTTAGACTGGCTTAAATATACAGTATACAATAAATGCATCGAAAATTGAGGCACTAGCCTTGCTTAGTGCCTCAATTTTGGGGACAGTCAGACTTTTGCAGATTCTGAAGAAACTTCATATTAAATTTGACATTATTGGACAACCAAAATTTCCAAGGTGTTGGGGTTCACTTTCCAAGCCAATTATGTGCCTGTGTAACCTCTTCCACTACCGATAAAGTCCATAATAAATGAACTTACTAAACTATCCTAATAAAGGTATTGAAAATCACTAATATTAGGTAAATTGACACGTTTGTGCTTGGTTATATTTCTTTAAAAATCACAACAATATAGGAAAATGTTCATGAATTTACAGCTTTGGCGAGTCGGCAATATTGAATGAATGGTAGATGACGTATATAGTTATAGAGTACTCACATCCTGTCTCTGCCTGGATATCATTGATATCTTGCTCCTGCAGCATCAGACTGCTCTTGTTGCCCATGGTTGCTATGGTCAGACGCCTCACAACACAAGATACCACACCAAGATGGAGAGGAAGGCTGCTGACCTTGTACACTTTTCCTTGTATGAGTGAGGAGTGACGCAGGTGTGTGCCAGCCTCCACCACGGGTTCACACGGGCAGGTGTGTGAACCACTGCTCGAGTCCCTCCTCGACCACACCCGAGTCTCGTGACGTCTGAACCCGAGCTCCCACACCCGTCCCCACTACACAACTGATAAATAAATGAATGAATGAATGAATTTTTATTCAGGTAAAGTACCATACATACAAGAGGGTTTACAAAAATTGATAGATTTATTGATTTATTTATAGATTTATTTATTTATATACAAGAAGGTACATTGGGTTTGTGAGAATACATAGCATAGTACAGTATTTACTCTCTTGTAAAGGCACTAGTACGCGCAGCGTTTCGGGCAGGTCCTTAATCTAACAGCTAGTTAGATAGAGCTAGTACATACAATGCCTAAAGCCACTATTACGCAAAGCGTTTCGGGCAGCATATATATCTTATCATATATATATCATATCATATATATATGATATATATCTTGTTTCTGATATATGTGAATGATCTCCCGGAGGGTATAGATTTATTTCTCTCAATGTTTGCTGACGATGCCAAAATTATGAGTAGGATTAAGACAGAGGAGGACTGCTTGAGGCTTCAAGAAGACCTGGACAAGCTGAAGGAATGGTCGAACATATGGTTGTTAGTTTAACCCAAGCAAATGTAATGTAATGAAGATAGGCGTAGGGAGCAGGAGGCCAGATACTAGGTATCATCTGGGAGATGAAATTCTTAGAGAGAGAAAAAGACTTGGGGGTTGATATCACGCCAGACCTGTCTCCTGCAGCCCATATCAAGAGGATAACATCAGCGGCATATGCCAGGCTGGCCAACATAAGAATGGCATTCTAAAACTTGTGTAAGGAATCATTCAGAACTTTGTATACCACATGTCAGGCCAATCCTGGAGTATGCAGCCCCAGCATGGAGTCCATATCTAGTCAAGGATAAGACTAAACTGGAAAAGGTTCAAAGGTTTCCCACCAGACTAGTACCCGAACTGAGAGGAATGAACTAAGAGGAGAGACTACGGGAATTAAACCTCACTTCGCTGGAAGACAAAAGAGTTGGGGGAGGACATGATCACCACATTAAAGATTCTCAAGGGAATTGATAGGGTAGATAAAGACAGTCTGTTTATCACAAGGGGCACATGCACTAGGGGACACAGGTGGAAACAGAGTGCCCAAATGAGCCACAGAGATATTAGAAAAAACTTTTTTAGTGTCTGAGTGGTTGACAAATGGAATGCATTAGGAAGTGATGTGGTGGAGGCTGATTCCACAGTTTCAAGTGTAGATATGATAGAGCCCAATAGGCTCAGGAACCTGTACACCTGTTGATTGACAGTTGAGAGGCAGGACCAGTTAGGAAAGGGAGTCAGAAATAATTAAGCTGTCTACTTCAGTGTTGTCAATAATTTAGAGTGCTACCAGTATTGCTACCAACTCTGCTTGCATTGTGGACGCCCAGTTAGTAATTCGGATATTTCTTTGAATTGTGCTGCCATCGGGCTGATGAGCAATAACAGCACTTCCTGCCCTCCCTGTAGCTGTATTGAGTGATCCGTCAGTGTATATGATCTGTGCAATGTTGTTTTCAGCTTGTTGCATGTAGCCCTGTTCGTTTAGTTTTCGGGAGCGTTTAATTCCCCCCCCCCTTCCCTACCACACTGCCCTACTTATGCCACATGTCCTCCCCTGCCAACCCTTACTGCCATAATATTTCCAGAACGACTACAGACCGTCGGGGAACACCTCATGGACGGAGGACATTGGATCGCGCCCGAGGAACACTCTCGACGGACTACACGGATGGGCGCACGCAGGACCTACTCACCCACACTGGGGCCAGCCTCTGCGAGGGCGGGATACAGCGATGACGATGCCCACGAGGACCACCTGGCATGGCGGTGCACAGCACGCACAAGGTAATACGCCCACTCCACACGGACACCAAGACTACCCATGCACCAGAAGGTGCTCCATTGGTCACTCCCCGAATGCTGCTTACCTAGCAGCATTTACCAGCCATGTATGCCCGACTCTGTACCTTTTTTCAGTTCTGGAAATCCTGACTTTTGGGTGTCCGGCCTGCTGGCCTTGCGGAGTGGGGGTGCAGCGCTGGCCCCTAAGTGTTCCGCTGTCCGCAGCCTACTTACCCTGACTTGTAGGAGTAATGTTGACCTTGCCCTTTATGTGTATTCTGCATTTACTGGTTAATTTACGAATTTAAATTATGTATTGGAATGGGGCATTATTATCTGTCACGTGTTAGGCCAATATATGCTACTCTAAATGCCCTGATTCTCAAGGAAAAATATGTTAGACATTTGCCTTACTTTTACTCATAGATAATAAGTATTCGGTGTTCTGCAGATCTTGATTTAGTTAATTTACATCACGCTATTGTGATTTCTGTGTGCATACTGCATATATTTGTCTTGATAAGGTAAAAAACACATATTGTATGTTTAACATATTTATTTCTATATTTCTATTATATATAAATTCAGCAAAACGTAAGTATAATATATATATATAATGACATCTTTGATACTGTACCGGTACATTTGTAACTAATGTTAAAAATATTCAACTTATTTACTTTCAAAAGAGTGCTTTGTTAAAATTTAAAAAAAATAGTAAAAATTAGTTAAGAAGCTTTACCTTAATCAACAAATATATGTAGGCTTCATTAAAAACAAATGGAAAAAAATGTTAAGCAACCTTTAAGTTTCTTAAAAAAAGATTTGATTACCTAAGGAACACTATGGTCATCAGTTCTTCAAATTCTGTACGTTCCAAAGAAGCACAAAACTCATCGAAGCTTATCATCTTGTCACCATCAAGATCAGCGTCATTAATGGTCCGTTCAGCAATATTGTTGAGTTGCTCTTCGCTGTAAAATAGATTACTTAATTTAATAAATGTTAGATCAAGTTCAAGTTCAAGTATGTTTATTGAGATAAGCAATAAATACATCTCAAAGGGATAGAGTAGCTTAGGCTATTTCTACCCCCCCCCCCCCGAAAAATGTTAGATTTCCCAGTTCTATGTTCTGTAGCCTCATTATTTACATTTTTATATTTCCAATTTAGCAGTTTCCAACATACACTATACAAAAATCTTTTAAAAAAACTAGATTTCTAAACCTAAATGTAGCACTGTAAAAACCACTGTACTAACAGTGACGACGAGAGATATAGGCTGCTAGCTTCTGGTCTCTTGTCATCATTTGAGGATTGTTTGTAATGTAGATTGTTATGCTCCACATGCAAGGCCTTTCATTTTTCAATATTAAAAATAGTCTTCTGACCATTTGTGGAGTTCATGTAGATTTCTTCATAAGGCCTCAATATCATTTTCACTTCCCACTTTACCATACTCTAAGCATCGATAAGTCTTACATATACAGCTACACTAATCATCAACAAATCTAGCATATACAGTACCTACTAATCATGGATAAGTGTGAAATTTGCCCGAAATCCTGCCCGAAACGCTCTGCGTAATAGTGGCTATAGGCATTGTATGTACTAGCTCTATCTATAAATTCATCAATATTTGTATCACACCTTGTATGTATGTACTTTACCTGAATAAACATTTGAATTTACTGCTACACTAATCATGAACAAATTTTACATATACAACACCTACTAATCTTCAACAAGTCTGACATTTACAGCTACACTAATCGTCAAGAAGTCTGGCATTTATTGCCACATTAATCATCAATGAATCTATTTTTATTATTTATTTATTTTATTTATATATATACAAGAAGGTACATTGGGTTTGTGAGAATACATTGGATAGTACAGTAATTACATTCTTGTAAAGCCACTAGTACGCGCAGCGTTTCGGGCAGGTCCTTAATCTAGCAGATAATTTTAAGTAGGTAAGTTCAATCAGAATTGATAAATGAAAGATACATTACAAGAGAAAAATGAGATGAGAGAGATAAGTAAGTATATTAAAGCACATTGTTATATTAAAGCTCTGATTACATTGACAGCTTGATTAGTAATTTAAACAAGATTAATAGACACCATACAGCAGATTGACAGCACATATAAGACAGCAATGATCACAATGGTAAAGATGTTCAGAATGGGTACATAAAGATTGGGAGACTGGGTAGCAAAAGATACAGATAAACAAGATTTATAAACACCATACAATAAAATGGCAGCACATATAAGAAAACAGCAATGATCTCAATGGTAAAGATGTTCAAATTGGGAACAAAAAGGTTGGGAGATTGGGTAGCAATAGATACAGTGCAATTTTAAGGCAAAAAGAGAAAAACTATGAAGATGAAATTAGGTACTTTTTAGTATTGATTTTGAATGATGTAAAAGTTGGACAGCTTTTCAATTCAGTAGGGAGTGAATTCCATAAACTGGGTCCCTTTATTTGCATAGAGTGTTTACACAAATTAAGTTTAACTCTGGGGATATCGAAGAGATATTTATTTCTGGTGTGGTGATAATGGGTCCTATTACATCTGTCCAGAAAGAGTTTCAGACAAGGATTTGCATTTAAGAATAGGGTTTTGTAAATGTAGTTGACACAAGAGAATTTGTGGAGTGAGATTATGTTTAGCATGTTTAGGGAGTTAAACAAGGGGGCTGTGTGTTGTCTGAAAGCAGAATTTGATATTATTCTGATAGCAGATTTTTGCTGGGTGATGATGGACCTGAGGTGGTTTGCAGTGGTTGAACCCCATGCACAGATACCATAGTTGAGATAGGGATAGATTAGTGCATAATATAGAGAGATGAGAGCAGAGTTAGGAACATAATATCTGATTTTGGAGAGTATACCAACTGTTTTAGAGACTTTCTTAGTTATGTGTTGTATATGGGTACTGAAGTTGAGTCTCTTGTCTAGGAATATGCCAAGAAACTTTCCATCATTTTTATTGCTAATATTTACATTGTCAATCTGAAGCTGAATTGCATTTGTAGATTTGCTTCCAAATAGGATGTAGTAGGTCTTTTCTATGTTAAGTGTTAGTTTGTTGGTTGACATCCATAAGTGGACTTTTTTTAGTTCATTATTAACAACATCATTTAGTGTATGTGGGTTGGGGTTGGAGTAAATGAGGGTAGTATCATCAGCAAACAAAATAGGTTTCAGAATGTTAGAGACATTAGGCAGATCATTAATGTATATAAGAAATAGTAGGGGTCCCAAGATGCTGCCCTGAGGCACTCCAACGGTTATTGGTAGAATGGGAGAGATTATATTATTGATGGCTACACATTGGTGTCTATCACTAAGATAGGATTGGATATAGTCCAGTGCATGGCCTCGGATTCCATAATGATGGAGTTTACATAAGAGGTAATCGTGATTAACAGTATCAAAGGCCTTTCTCAGGTCAATGAAGAGTCCAATTGGAAACTCATTTTTGTCAAGGGCAGAGTAAATTATATCAAGGAGACTAATAATTGCATCGTTGGTACTCTTTTGAGAGCGGAAGCCAAACTGACAGGGGCTAAGAATGTCGAATTTTACGAGATAGGAGTAGAGCTGTTTGTAGATAATTTTTTCAAATATTTTTGATAGTATGGGTAGGTTCGATATTGGTCTGTAGTTGTTTATGTCTGACGGATTACCTCCTTTATGAACTGGCGTTACTCTTGCGTTTTTAAGGATATCAGGGAAGGTATGACACTCAAGGGATTTGTTGAACAGCAGAGCTATAGGTGGTGCAAGGGCATGGGAGGCGCTCTTGTATACAATGGATGGGATTTCACTGATGTTCCCAGCTTTGGTTTTTAGTGAGTGTATGATGGACACAACATCTGACGGGCTGACTGGTGAGAGGAGAAGAGAGTTTGGATAGCTGCCTGAGAGATATGTGTCTGAGTCTGTGGGATTTTACTTGCAAGGTTAGCACCAATCGATGAAAAGAAGCTATTAAATTCATTCGCCATTTCTAAGTCAGATGACAGTGTAAGGCCATCCTTAGAGAGTGTTATCTGGTTGTGGGAGTGTTGTTTAGTTCCCAGGATGTTAGAGATGGTATTCCATGTGCTTTTCATGTTGCCTTTTGCTTCTTTGAATCTAGTCTCATAATATGAAAGTTTTGCTTTTCTTATGATACTGGTAAGCACTGATGAGTACCTTTTAACTACTTCCATTGAAATTAGGCCACTCCTGAATTTCTTTTCGTATTCATGTTTTTTGTTGATTGATTTAATTATGCCACTTGTGAGCCACGGGTTATTTTAATCTGACATTTCCAGTGCATCACTAAAATATAAAGTTCATCAAAGATGTCACTTGCCTGATATTTTCCCCGACCATAGCATGGAGCGCTTCCCGAAGCTCCCCCAAGGAGATGTGGTTATCATCATCAAGATCATATACTCTGAACACAACTGAAAAAATACACCAGAAGTATAAACTTTAGTACAGAAAGCACTTTTATAAGCATAATGAGATTTCTCATAACATAAATTTAAATATTAGGAGCAGGTGAAGTAAGGTAATTATCAGGCGAAGTGCTATTCCAGCATGACTATATTTTTGGGGGGAAGAGATACGAGGACAGGTTTTGAGCTGGGATAATATGACGGAATGATGGAACGGTGCCCAACCACTTGGGCAGTCGAAGATTGAACCCCATGCAAGACGTGAAACGGTCCCATCACTGACTAGTTTTGGTGGATAGACAATACCATGAACAATATTATTAAAGTTACTGGATGTAATCTGCATTACCTCCTGTATCTACACTCTATGGATGATGAAATGTATCCTGCAATGTATATGTTATCATTTTATTAATTCTGCTAGAATTTACCTACTTAAAATTATCTGTTAGATTAAGGACCTGCCCGAAACGCTGCGCGTACTAGTGGCTTTACAAGATTGTAAACACCATGCTATGTATTCTCACAAACCCAATCTACCTTCTTGTATATAAATAAATAAATAAATAAATAAATAAATGAAGGCGACGAGTCACAATAACGTGGCTGAAGTATGTTGACCAGACCACACACTAGAAAGTGAAAGGACGACGACGTTTCGGTCCGTTCTGGACCATTCTCAAGTCGATGAGAATGACTTCACGTTCTAGTGTGTGGTCTGGCCAACAATATAGATGATGGGTGATGGAGAATGCCATGAGGGACGACGTTACATGGAAAACACTGAAGTTTTCCATATAGCATTGTCCCTCATGGCATTCTCCATCACTCATCATCCATAGATTGTAGATACAGGAGGTAATGCAGATTACATCCAGTAACTTTAATAATACTGTTCATGGTATTGTCTATCCACCAAAACTAGTCAGTGATGGGACCGCTTCACTTCTGACAAATAGGGAAACCACTTTTAGACATTTATAGAAGATGCCAAGCAACTAAATGAAGGTGCAGACAAACAGAAGTAAATTATAAAAAGGATTAATAGTGATACCGATGTTCCAGCTTATCACAAGTTTTTGTTGAGTAGTGATTTGTTTAAATCTCGGTTCTTTTTTTGCATTTTCTCAATTCTAAGACACGTTATACTAATCTACACTAATATATCCTCAGTACCCAAATTTATATCTAAATAATATGTCTATTTGTCTATCTGCGTAAAGTAGGAGGCCAGACGCGTGAGGCAAGCCTCATCATACTTTCCACATATACAACATGTGGGGTATGTGTGTCACAGGCCAGTCGGGGTCGGCCCAACTACCATGCTTTAATAAATATCAGCATCAAAGGGCCTTTCTCCTTGTGATATTTATGAAGAATGAAATTAAATCAGAGGGTTGTGAAAACATTAGATTTCTATGAATTATTGTTGTTGTTGTTAAAGATTTGCTACCTGGAATAAAAAGTTCCAAGTAACACGAGCTATGGTGAGCCCGTAGTCTATGACTGCTCCAGCAGTTTACCCGGATGAAATGGGGAGGAAACGGGAGAAGGAAAGGGGGGGGGGGAGGTGGGAGAAAGGGAGGGAAAAGGATAGAGAAGAAAAGGCTGAAAAGGGGGGGGGGGAGAAGATAGGAAAAGGTGGGTGAGGAGAGAAAGGTAGATGATGGGAGAGAAAGTTGGATAGAAAGGAAGATTGGGGATGTTGGATAATACGGGGAGAGAGGTGGGAAATAGAGGGAGAAGAGTGGGGAGTGGGAGAGTTGGAAAAAGGGAACGAAAGTGGGAAGAGGGAGAGAGAGAGGAACATAGCCTAGTGCCCCGCTGGTTCTCTACAATGGCTCGCTCCCTCACCAGTGCAGACTACAGCAATAATTAGTACTAAATACATAAAAAACAGTATTTTAATTCAGTATTTAAATATTATTCTGTAATACAGTCTTGTAATTCTGTATTGTAACACAGTATTGTAATACAGCATTAAATACAGTATGTAATAGTGTTTTAATACAGTATGTAAGGGTATTGTAATACGGTACGTAATACAGTATTGTAATAAATTATGTAATACAGTATTGTAATAAATTATGTAATACAACATTGTAATGCTGTATGTAAACGAAAATTAAGAAAATAAATATAAAAATCTGGAGTCAGATCAGACAATTTAGGAGGCTTAGGCTTTCCCCGCTTGATTATGAACACGGTGGTGCCGTGTTCCAGGTGAGTAATGGTCGTCTGGTGGCAGAACGGTTCCTGCCCATTATGGGTTCCGTTGTTACCAGTCTGGGTGGACTGAGGAACAGTACAGAGGTACTAGTAGAGGTACTGTGTACCTCTACACACACCGTGCCCGCACATTGCTCTGTAAAGCTTTACTTACATCGTAGCTTCTCGATCCGATTATTCAGCTTGTTTTCCTTGCTGTTTTTTATCCTGCGGAAGCGAGCCATGCTATGCACAAACTGACGGAAGTTCAACTGTTCATTTTCACTTTCCTATAGAGAGAAATTAAAATTGTGCTTTAATAAGAACAAATAAAATGGTTCAGAATACATCAAAACATCTACCCCTCTCTCATCCCCCCCCCCTTTACCCTCACTACTCACCCTCCCTCCTCCCCGTCACCCTTACCCACTCCGTCCCCTCCCTCATCTTGGGAGGGGACGGTACTCCCAAAGGTACCTACTCCAAAGGTAAGCCTTCGGAGCCACACCCAATTGCTTTGGGAAAGGAAAAAACCGGAAAAGCGGCGGCGGCAACATCAGCTGGTGGGAGAAATTATAGTCAGAAATTTCAGTATGGATATTTCCGTATGGAGAAATTTCAGTATAGAGAAATTACTTTCAGTATAGAGAAATTATAGTCAGTCAGCCCGGTGCAGGTCACAGTCTTGTCGCCGCGCCTGCATTCGAATCTCGATCCCTTTCGCTTTGATGTCCAAAGGGATTGGAAAGGATGGGGGGGGAGGTAGAGGGATGGGGAGATGAAATTCAGGAAGAGGATGCGGGTGTAGAGAGAGAGGTGGTTTGAAAGTTGGGTGGCCTGTCCACCATGGGTTGACATATGTGTGTGTGTTGTTTGTTTGTGTATGTGTTATGTTGGGTTGTCAGTACATTGGCTGGGGGGTGGGGGGGGAGGTGGGGGTGGGGGGGGGCTAGTGTTTGTGACCTGGCTGGTGTCTTGGAGCACTAGAGCTGATTGTGTTGGCTGAAGGAGGTTAATCTTAGCAACATCAGGGTAGTTACACTTCTCATAGCACAACAAAAGGTTTTTGGTTTTGTATTTTTTTTGTAGTAGTTTTATTTCGTTATTTATTTTTTGTTTGTTTATTTATTTATTTATTTATTTTTCCCCAGATGAGTGGCCCATCCCGGACCCGATCTACACCAAATGAAGAATAAAGAAGAAAAAAGAAATCTCGAACCGATACCAGTCTCCATGGTGCAGTGGTAAGACACACTCCTGGCGTTCCACGAGCGCTTTGTCATGGGTTCGTATCCTGGCCGGGAGGATTTACTGGGCGCAAATCCTTAACTGTAGCCTCTGTTTAACGCAACAGTAAAATGTGTACTTGTAAAAACGATTCTTCGCGGCGGGGATCGTATTCCAGGGACCTGCCCGAAACGCTACGCGTACTAGTGGCTCTACAAGAATGTAACAACTCTTGTATATATCTCAAAAAAAAAAAAAAAAAAAAAAAAAAAAAAAAAAAAAAACATTCTCCTCCCCTCCTTCAAACACTTGTGTGGGTGATGGGCTGTCATCCAACCTTTCGAGTGTAAACACTGATGTAAAAATAATAGTTTAGTGTTTGGTGCCCTTTTATCATCCATTACAGCTTGGTTAGTCTGAGCTAGTAATTAAGGGCCCAATTGAGTTTTTTGTTTTGGTTTTACCTCATATATAGACGCAGAATGATTCTGGACCTTTCTTTAGGTTTTGGACAATTTTTCTTTCGTAGTCGGCGCCTGGCAGCTGGGTGGACAGCGCTTCGGATTCGTAGTCCTGAGGTTGCGGGTTCGATCCCCGGTGGAGGCGGAGAGAAATGGGCAAAATGTTTCTTTCACCCCAAATGCCCCTGTTACCTAGCAGTAAAATAGGTACCTGGGAGTTAGTCAGCTGTCACGGGCTGCTTCCTGGGGGTGGAGGCCTGGTCGAGGACCGGGTCGCGGGGACACTAAAGCCCCGAAATCATCTCAAGATAACCTCAAGATAATCTCTTTTGACTGATCTGATTTTCTGAGTGGCCAAGTTTAGTGACTTTTTGCATAACTAATAATCAGTGACGTCCATCGTGGATTTACACGTTCTCCAGAGGTTCCTCTTGGTTACCAATGCTCGTCTTACGACCTGTGTCATCCATCGAGTTCTCTTTCTTGTCTTTCTTCTTTTCGGCACATATTTTTAAACGAGTTCGGTGAGACTTTGAAATTTTGCCATGCTGCTTCCGTGTCATGTTCGCCCATCAGCTCCCTCCAGGAGGACAAACCTCCTATGGTTTGTAGTTCCTCTCTCATTCCTTGATATTCAACTCGCTGGTAATCTAAAAATTCTTCACCTTTAACCTTTATGTGGGTTTCTATATTCGTAGTCCATCTTGAAATATGGTGGTCGCACGAGGGGTTAGCTTTTCCCTCACATGAATTTGATCAATCATACCCTCTTCTGTAGTCAGGACAAGATCTAATATATTGTTGCCACGTGTGGGCTCTACCACATGTTGTATTTCTTCCACATGTTGTATGAGGAAGGAGTCCTACACGAGGTCGATAAATTGTTCACGTTCTGCTTGTAATGTTAGGTTGATCCACTCTATAGTCTCGTGGTTAAAGTTCCCCATTATTAGGGGTTTGGATTTCAGATGTCGCATTGATCACATTATGCTGACCCGTAATTTCCTCTTCCACTGCTGTGTCAGCCCTGTAGCATACTCCCACGGTTACTTTGCTACCATCCTGAGTTAGTATGTTTCACCACACAGACTCTGAGGAACCCATGGTGCTCAGTTCCTCATTGTTGGTTGCATCCAAGTCCTCTTGTACACATAGCATTACCCCGCCTGCTCTTGTTGTTCTGTCCTCTCTGCATGGTGGGTGCTCAACCCGTCCTCTTACAAATAACGTCGCTTTTCGCTCGTATGCTCACTAAGGCTAAAAATTACCGTAATAGAAAATGGAATCTGCTAGCGACAGTGACGTACTGTCACGTTTTCTGTTTTCGGTCCTGTGGTTTAGTCTGCTAGGTTAGGAAAGGACATATGAACAGTTTTCATGACGTTTTGAAACCTTAGGAGAACTTGCTGCCCTCCTAATCTACCAGAGGACCCAAAATTTTGGATAACGACAATTTTTGGTAGGGGCCCATACAAGCGACGTTATTTGTAAGAGGAGAGGTTGCTTACCCTTCAGTCATGTCCCCTCGGCCCCATGTTTCACTGAGGCCAGTGATGTCGGCCTTTTCAGCCGTAGTATATGCACATAATTGATATATATATACATTAATATATCACGCCATTATGAAAATAATTTTGGGGCAATGGAGTGACTCGAACTTGCGTTCTGGAAAATCCCAGACACCTGCCCTAACCGACTCGACCACAATGATACAAATATACCACGCCCTTTATAACAAATATAACTGCTCCTATACAAATATATCTGCCCCTATACAGTCCAACCACTTGGGCTGGACGGTAGAGCGACAGTCTCACTTCATGCAGGTCGGCGTTCAATCCCGGACCGTTCAAGCGGTTGGCACCATTCCTTCCCCTCCGTCCCATCCCAAATCCTTATCCTGACCCCTTCAAAATAACATAATATTCACCTTGAAGATAGCGTGAACGATGCGCTCACAAAGAAGGTTGTTTGACAGTTCAGGAATACAGAGCAAGTCTTCACGACACAACCATCCTTTGTTACCGGTGTCCAAGCTGGTGAAGCGGCTGTACAGCTCTTTGATCTCTCCCGTCAGAACTGTTCACATTAAAAAGTAAAAGTTACATAAACTCTACATTTTTGGTGTCAAGTAAACCAAAGAATAGAATATTTCCTAAGTTAAGAAAATTAAATGTTTCATTTAATATTATTATTCCTGCAGTATTTTCCTGCTTAAAAATATTTTATACTTAAGCTGAAATAGTTACCTGTTAATTTTTTTTTTATAAAACAGGACCAAGCCTCGGTGGTTTTCTCCCTATAAGGGGGTTGTGGGTGTGAGGTGCATATTTACTCACAGGATGAGTAAAGGTGCCCAGTGCTGTCAATATGCCGGCATGTTCATTCAAAGGATGAATAAAAATGCCCAATACTGTCACTATGGAGGCCTGTTCACTCACAGGATATCATCTCATACTCCTGATACCATCTCTTCCTATTCTAGACACCGTCTGGTCATACTGGAGATGCCTCATACTTACACTGTGTCTCCGCCTGGATATCCTTAAGGTCGTGGTGTGGGAGGCTTGAGTTGTTCCCCATCGTCTCGGCTGGCGACCACTGCTTCTCTTCTTTAATGCACAAAGGAACCTGTAAAGGCAGAACATTATTTATATATATTATATATAATATATGTGTTCTGCCTTTACAGCTTCCTTTGTGCATTAAAGAAGAAGCCCTTGCGAAACGCTTTTAGGCGTCAGACCAAAAATAAAAATATAAAAAATGAATTTTGGAGAGTTAATTTTTCCAATACCTTCGGCAGTGAAGAAAAACGTAAGAAATATTGAGAAGATTCATGTTAGAATTATTAATCTTACCCGTTCGGCGTCGGTCGTATTCAACAACATATATATATATATATATATATATATATATATATATATATATATATATATATATATATATATATATATATATATATATATATATATATATATATATATATATATATGTATATATGTATATATATAATATATATATATATAGCTGTATTATATATAAGCATACTTATGTTCAGTTATTCGTTTCACATTAGGTTTAAGAGCATGTCAGCCACGGAAGGGTTATTAAGGCTATCACAATGACATACTAATCTTACTAATTAGTACAACTTACTAATCACTGAGTTGAAAAATCCTCAGGAACAGGTTTTTTTTTGTTTGGCAAGCCGCCGGCTTCCTGTAGAAATCCCCAAGGGAAACATAAGATAAATACTTTAGCTGTGAACATTATTTAGGACTAAACTAACAGTGTTTACACCCCGAGCACTGGAGTACACCTCCAGGTGCACATGCACACAATATTTCGGACAATTCTTAAACTCTAACATAGTTCATTGTATTGGGGGACAGGCAGCCAGTGTATATATACATGTTAGGCTTATATCGAGGTCTCCCCAAGGTCGATTTACTGACCCCCCATGATGTAACCCCACAAACAGCTCACTCCTGGATATCTATTTACTGCTTGGTGAACAGGTACATTAGGTGATTAGGAAACGCGCCCAACCATTTCCGTCTCGCCCGGGACTCGAACCAGAAATTCTCGATTGTAAGTTGAGAAGTAAGCCTACTGTACAACCAGGACATGTGGGAGTGTTTACAATTATTATAGCGTATACGATCACTTAGCAAAAGTTGAGCATTATTAACATTGTCACAAATATTTATAAAAATTTTAGAAAATATAAATGTCGATACAGGGATACAAGGTAGGCTTTGTACTAGATGAAGTTGGAGAGGTTACTTATATGTTATAGCTTACTGCTCGATAGTTATTGGGATATCGACGACGGTTTCACGTGTGATTGGCGATAATTTATATACAATTGTCCCTGGATTGTGGTGCAATAAGTTATTGTGTTAATTTTCTTATCTGGATATTAGGCTACTGCATGCCGACAATGTCTATAAGATACCTATATTTCCTCCTGCACTGTCCCGAGTTTCACTAAAAGTCATACAATATAGGTAAGAGCGACCTTCCCGATAATGGATAATTCCCAAAGTTCATTATATTACAATCGTCACAATCACTACACTCTGCTGTTCCCAGTGTACTGGTGTAGGGTGGGGCGGCGCACCTTGTGGAGAGAGAGAGCGAGACCTCGCCAGGAGAGCTACACCCAACGACTGCTGCTGGTCAAGCAGGTGTGGTGGCAGGTGTGTGTGTGTATTGTGGGATGAAGCAGCACTGTGTAACCTTCCCCCCCCCCCCACAATATCTCCACACAACTCCCCCATCACCTCTGGCTGTCGTTTAGACCGTTGTGTTTCACAATGTTCTGTATGTACGACAACTCTTCCCCAGCTCAGTGAAAAATGCTTCTTTCACAGATTTCAGTAGATTTCACTTATTATACACGCCATACCTATGGTGTAAGTGGTAGTCCCTCCCCCCATTCCCAGCCTGTGAGTGGTAGTCCTTCATTCCCAGCCTGTGAGTGGTAGTCCCCCCATTCCCAGCCTGTGAGTGGTAGTCCTTCATTCCCATCCTGTGAGTGGTAGTCCCCCCATTCCCATCCTGTGAGTGGTAGTCCCCCCATTCCCAGCCTGTGAGTGGTAGTCCCCCCATTCCCAGCCTGTGAGTGGTAGTCCTTCATTCCCATCCTGTGAGTGGTAGTCCCCCCATTCCCAGCCTGTGAGTGGTAGTCCTTCATTCCCATCCTGTGAGTGGTAGTCCCCCCATTCCCAGCCTGTGAGTGGTAGTCCTTCATTCCCATCCTGTGAGTGGTAGTCCCCCCATTCCCAGCCTGTGAGTGGTAGTCCTTCATTCCCATCCTGTGAGTGGTAGTCCCCCCATTCCCAGCCTGTGAGTGGTAGTCCTTCATTCCCATCCTGTGAGTGGTAGTCCCCCCATTCCCAGCCTGTGAGTGGTAGTCCTTCATTCCCATCCTGTGAGTGGTAGTCCCCCCATTCCCAGCCTGTGAGTGGTAGTCCTTCATTCCCATCCTGTGAGTGGTAGTCCCCCCATTCCCATCCTGTGAGTGGTAGTCCCCCCATTCCCAGCCTGTGAGTGGTAGTCCCCCCATTCCCAGCCTGTGAGTGGTAGTCCTTCATTCCCATCCTGTGAGTGGTAGAGCACACACTATCCATCTTCTATGTGGTTATGCACGCCATACCCATCCTGTGAGTTATAAGGAACTCCATACCAATCTCGGGAGTTACAATGCACTCCATACCCATCATATGAATGGTAGTGCACCCCATATCGCTCTGCACGCTCTCCAGGTCAGCAATTTTTCCAGCTTTAAAAGAGGCGGTCATTGTGCAGCAGTGCTCCACTCTAGAGAGCACTAGCGTCTTGAAAAATATCATCGGTATAGCATCTCTAGTGTGAAAGGTTCTTGTTATCCAACCTGTCATTCTTCTTGCAGATGTGACGGTTACTTTATTGTGTTCTTTAAAGGTAAGGTTTTCCGACATGAGTACACCCAAATCCTTTGCATTACCTTTTCGTTCTATGTTATAATTTGACTGCGTTTTGTACGTAGTTTCCGTTTTTATATTTTCATTTTTTTCCGTAATGCAGAAGCTGGACTTTATCTTTGTTAAACACCATATTATTTCCTGTAGCCCATAGAAAGACCTAATTTACATCTGATTGGAGGTTTGCCGTGTCCTCTATGTTGTCTACTCTTATAAAACTCCTAGTGTCATCTGCAAAGGATGATGCAGTACTATAGATTGTGTCCTTGTCTAATGTCCGATATGAGAAAAAGTACTGGAGCAAGCACAGTACCCTGAGGGACTGAGGTCTTCACGGTTGATGGTCCGGATTTTATTTTGTTGACACATTGAGTTCTGTTAGTCAGAAAATTTTAGATCCATCTACCTATTTTTCTGGTAATTCCTTTTGAACCCATTTTGTATGGAATATCACCATGGTCACAGTCTCGGGCCGTAAACTAGAAATATTGCGTAGATTTAGGATAATATGCCCTTTCCAGATTATAAATTCATGGATAATTCGTGAACAATATTGAAGATCTACTTCGCTACATCCATAGTGTTCACACGGTATTATATCTATTACAGATTATTAACTTATTGGTGGAATTAAACCAACCAGTACTGGAGTTGGGAAGTTGTGAACAAGTGAGAATTTAGGTGCAAGGAGCAGTGAAGTCAACGGTATTACCATTAACAACACGTGCCACTGATACGTGACCTCAATTGTCATAGTCCAGTGCGCAGCACACGCAGCTCAGATTTCAAGATGAGTATGGGGTGCACAATAAACTATTGCTCACAGGACGAGTATGGGGTGCACAATAAACTATTGCTCACAGGATGAGTATGGGGTGCACAATAGGCAATCTCTGACAGGATGAGTATGGGGTGCACAATAAACTACTGATCACAGGATGAGTATGGGGTGCACAATAAACTATTGCTCACAGGATGAGTATGGGGTGCACAATAAACTACTGCTCACAGGATGAGTATGGGGTGCACAATAAACTACACTGGAGCATCAATAAATGAAGATAATGACATAAGGCATACAGGTACTCTCTCAGCTGCGGAATCTTCACAAGCCTCATGAATAAGGCAGAACTATGTAAATAAATGCAACAATAGACAATAGCCAGATAGATAAAATAGATAAAATAGGCACTGGAGCATCCAAACCTGAAAAGAAGGCTTAGGAACAAAAGTATTCCCTCACCTGAGGAATCAAATCACAAGCCTCTTGAATTAGGCAGAATAATGCCAAATAATTATAAATTTATTGAATCAGCAGTCCATAACTCATGTGTCCTGGCATATAGAGTTTCGACACCCATACTGACATCACGTAAAATAGCAGAAAGTAAATTCAAAATATTCACTGACACATTATTTTAAGCATGTAACGTTAACAGCTCATGATTAATGTTGCATTAATAGCCAATGACCAATATGTATTTGCCTGATCCATCATGGCTGTCTTCACCTGGGCATTGGCTTACATGATCTCATCATCTTTCCTACCCCCTTAATCTGTCTAGTGTTTACATCACAGCGAAAAAAGAACCGAATACTTATGAATACAAGGGACATAGACCTATAGTCCGTAGGGAAGAGTGCTGGGCTGTACACCTCCCAAAATGCGAGCAAGTGGTGTTATATCTCTCTTGCGTGTTGTCGGTTCAAGGTTCTCGGCACCATTCCAATATTGTGACAAATTATTATAATCCCTCCTGCCTGCATATATTAATTTAATATGTCCTGTACTATGTCCTGTTCCAATATTTAATAACATTTTCTAGTGATTGCTTTATTAACGGAATGTATATGGGAAAATTTTATATAATGGACAGTATATTGTTCATTCCAAAATTCCTGCAGGAACACCAGACAGTGTTAATGTCATCTCTACCAAAGAGATAACATTAACATCAAGAGCACTAGCTACTGACTTTCTAGCACTTTCAAAAGTGTCCCACTGCATTTGTTCTTATAGTTTTTTCATCCTATAATTCAAGCTAAGTCTTGTCATCTTTGATGAAAAATGCTTTCCACATACACTTTTCTTACAAAGCAATGTTTCCTCATACCCCTACTTTACATTAGGGGACTAAAAGGCCGGTACACGATGAAGCAAAACTCTCCCAGTAACGACTAGAGAAAAAGACTTGGGAGCGGGCATGACACCAAACCTAACTCCGGAGGTTTATATAAATTGGATAATGACAAAAGCATAATCTACACTTGCGAAAGTCAGAACATCATTCAGGAATCTAAATAAGGAAGCATTTAGATTGCTGTTCACCGGTTATGAGAAACCCGGTTTAGTGTATGCCGCGACATCATGGGGGCCCATCTTAAAAAACATAAAGAAACTAGAAAAGACTGAGAATTTTGCAACAAAACTCGTCCCAGAATTGGAAAAAATGAGGTACAAAGAGAGACTGAAGGAACCAATCCTGACGACGCTAGAAAGGAGGAGAGAGAGAGAGGGGGGGGGGGGCGATAGAGACGTATGAAATACTTAAGAGGATTGACAGTGGAAAAAAACATGAAATGTTTACATTGAACACCCATAGAACAAGAGGGGCATGGATGAAAACTTGGGAATCGTAGTAGTGGGAAAATGGAATGAACTAAGAGCAGGTTGTGGAAGCTAACGCCATTCAAAACTATAACAGGCAGATATGATAAGCGAAGAGGTCAAGAGACATGGCTGTAGACAGCCGATGGATTGAAAAACGGGGTCCCAGAGCTAATGTTCGGTCCTGCAGGCACAAATAGGTGAGTACAGGTCCTCGCGCGACCAAGCGGAAAGTTCTTGAGGGTCGTAATCCTATGGTCCCAGGTTCGGTTTCCGGCCGAGGCAAAAACAAATGGGCATAGTCTATTTCACCTGATGTTCCTGTTCACCTAGCAGTAAATACATACCTGGTAGTTAGAGGCTGCTACGTGCTGTATTCTGGGGACGTGTTTGTGAGTTAGAGAAATATATATGTAGAAGATATAATAGAGGAAATATAAGATAGGTTAAACATCCGACAGTTTGAATGGCGAGGGGCAAGTCCAATACGGGCTCACCATAGCCGGTGCTACTTGGAACTCTGTTCCGAGAAGCTGAATCTAAAACAACGACGAATGGCGGAGTCCACGAGCTAGCAGCTCGATCCTGCAATACCAATATCAAATACAATGTCAGAGTAGTGAACCATTGCAATGTGTTAAGAAGTGGCGGAGACAGACTCCATACACAGCTTTAAATATAGATCCGACGGCCCAATAAGCTGCGGAACTTATACATTAGTCGACTAAGAGTTGAGAGGCGGGACCCATGAGTCGAAGCTTGCGGGACCCATGAGTCGAAGCTTGCGGGACCCATGAGTCGAAGCTTGCGGGACCCACGAGTCGAAGCTTGCGGGACCCATGAGTCGAAGCTTGCGGGACCCATGAGTCGAAGCCAGTTGAGAGGCGGGATCCATGGGTCTAGGCTCGCGGACCCATCCGTACATACCACTAGGAGGTACGTGCACACTATGTAATTAAAACACAATTGTGAAACATGTTAGCATGATAAGTGACGCAGCAACTTACGAAATGAATTGAGTGTTAGATTTTATAAAGAGAAATCTTACCAAGATGAAGTGACAAACTGTAAAGTGATAATTGCGAGCGACATCTTTTATATGTATTACTGTAGGGTGAAGGTTGTGAGCGACATC